TCCCAGCCCACTTCTGGCGCGGGAAGAATGTGTGGCGCTCCCAGGGATGTTGGCAGCGGCCCCACCGCTTGGCTCCAAAATCAGAACCATCTGGTGGAGTGAGGGAAGTCAGGACAGTGCCCAGAGAGAGGCAGCGCTATCCTCGGTGGCAGCCCTGGCTGGCGGGTTTGCCAGGCACGGGCAGGAGACACCTGGATGGTGGAGCTCTTGAGACGGAACCGTGGGAGAGGTGCCCTGAAAACTCACCTTGTTTCCTCTTGCTTCCGTAAACGTGTCTTGCAGGGACTCATGGGATTCATCGGTCTGGTCGGGGAGCCAGGAATCGTGGGGGAAAAGGTGAGTTGTGCAGGGGCAAAGAGAAATCAATAAGCGTGTGTTTTGAAAGTTTTAAAAGGTGACGGGGCCACTAATCTGGGAGTTTCAGACCAGTCTCCCCTGGCTTCTCTCCTGGCCTGGCATTCCGGACCCTACAAGAGCCATTGTCCCCTTTCCCAGCATCTCCCAGGGTCCTACCTGGCCCCCCTGCGGCCACCCTCAAGCACAGTCAGACTTGTGTGACCAGCCGCTGATGCATGTGATCTGGGCCCTGTGTGGCGGCTGCCCACGGGCACTGCCTAGGGCAGGTGAGAGAAGGGAGGGAAAGATTCTCCTTTGAAAGAGATGAAGGGTGGCCTTTTCCTCAGATTACCTTGCTAATCCTCCAGCAGCTCTGCTGGATGATGGAGGCTCAACCAGGGAGGAGGTAGCTTGCTCAAGGTCACCCGGAAGCAAGCGGAAGAGCACAGAGAGGAGCCAGGGTCACTACCAAAGGCCACGCTTTGCCCTCGAAGGCATTCTTCCTCATGTGGGCTCCCAGCTCAGAGCCAGCTGTGGTGTCCCATCGCCCTCCATGGGCTGTGGAGAGTGCTGGCCTGCCTTTGCTTATCTGGTCCCCAGAGCATGCTCTCTGGCAGAACCAGTATGATTCCCATTGGAGAGATAGAGAAACTGAGCTCTAGAGGAAGTGAGGAAGGAACCGTGGCCCACCCTAGTCTGGCACCGTCTCACTTTCCAGGCTCATCTTGTGCTTCTTCTTCACTCTGTGTCCCGGACTCTGAGCTCTCTGTCTTCCTCCTCCGCCTCCTCTTCCTCCTCCCTCATCTCCTCCTCCTCCAAAATTTAACTTTTTATCTTGCAATAATTGCAGATTCACAAGAAGTTGCAAAAAATTGCACAGAAGTGTCCCTTGCACCCTTCACCCTGTTTCCTGCCATGGTTGCATCTTACATAATGATGGTCCAACATCAAAGCCAACGCGGGCTGTCTTCTGTGGCTTAAATGTCCCATGTCCCTCCTCACCATTCCCTTGACCTTATAACTCTTCCCGTGTCCATCTGTCTCCACCCTTTTTGCCTAGTAACTCTTTTTTTTTTTTTTTTTTTTTTGAGTCAGAGTCTCTATCGCCCAGGCTGGAGTGTAGTGGCACGCTCATGGTCACCCCAGGCTTGACCTGCTGGGCGCCAGCGATCCTTCAGCCTCAGCCTTCCAAGTAGCTGGAACTACAGGTGCACACTACCATGCCCAGCTAATTTTTTATTTGTTGTAGAGACGAGGTCTCGCCAGGTTACCTGGGCTGGTCTCGAACCCGTGAGTTCAGGCAATCCACTTGTTTCGGCCTCCCAAAGTGCTGGGACTACAGGCTGAGCCACTGAGCCCGGTCACCTAGCAGCTTTTAATTATCCTTCACCTCTTGGTTCTAGTGAGACTTTCTCCAGGAAAAGTCCCCGAGTGGGTCAAGTTCCCTGTTTTAATGCCTTAGCACTGTGTACCCGCCTCATTGTACCGACTTCAGTTTGTATCCCTTCAGGTGACCCGCGTCCATCTCCCCTGCAACACTCTGAGTGTCTTGCTTCATGTGAACGGGTCTGTCTTTCTGCTCACCATCATATATTCAGGTTCTGCCAGCTAGTGTCCAACACATAGTTAGGTGTTCAATAAATATTTGCTGGTCGGGTGGGAGACAAGAAATAGGACCTTATAAAAACAGACTCAGGATTCGAACCCAGAGCCCCTGCCTTCCGGCCATAGTTCTGTTGCTATACTCTCCATGTCTGTCCAGTCTCTGGATTGGCCAAGAGAGGATGAGTCATGTCTCTGAAGCTGCGGCATCTCATCCAGGTTTGGACAGGGGGCTGAGGAGAATGAAAGAAATGCTTTCTCTTCGTTCCCATCCCAGCAAGCCCAGCACAGAGGATGCCAGGCTTAATGAGGACCACATGACGTGGGCCAGGATCAAAGGAGACAATGTGATTAGTGCATCCTTAATCAGGACCATCCTTGGAGGGAGACTCTGCGTGGCACGCGGTGGATGCTGGGGCCTCCCAGGACCCGCCGGAACTCTTGGTTTCCGCTGAGTGAAATCCCAGATCCCCACATGGGCCATGTGGCCATGGGTGGGACAGGGACCCCTCTAGAGAACTTGGGCAAGTTCCTGCCCCCCCACAGAGCCACGCACGTCTGTAGCTATGACCTCCCTGCATTGCTGTCTCCATCACAGGGTGACCGAGGCATGATGGGACCCCCAGGTGCGCCCGGACCCAAGGGGTCGATGGTAAGGAGTAAGTCTGCATCCTTGCCCTCTCCTGTTGCAGCCGCCAGTGACCACTCTGTTCTCCTCCACCAGCCGCATACCCCAGGTGTTCAGGTCCACCGGTTCATCTGTCTCTGGGAGGCCCGGCTGTGCCCTCCTGGCCCTGGGCTGGGGCTGAGATGGTCGCGGCGGGACTGAAGGAGGAAGAGGCGCCTTCTACGGCTGATCACTCCTCTGTCTTCTCTCTGGCAGGGTCATCCTGGAATACCGGGTGGTATGGGGACCCCTGGAGAGCCTGGACCCCTGGTAAGCAAAGCCCTTGTGATCCCTGAGCTCAAACTCACTGTCAAATAAGGGTGAGGAGTTCAGGCTTCAGAACCAGGCAGACCTGGGTTGGAATCCAGCTCTGCCCACCTGTGGGCTGTGGTCCTGGGGAAGACCACGTGACTTCTCTGAACCTAAATTTACACATCTGAAAAAATAGAGATGACCATGGTCATGGAAGTGTGATCAGTGGGTTAGCTAGAACCTGGGACTGATGCCCATCACTTAGTGATTGATGTTCATTCCTCAGGAGCATCTCGGTCATTAGCACTATTGCCTCTGTCGTTCACTCATTCCCTCAGTAAGTTTCAGGAGCTAGGGAGGCAGCAGTAAGAAGGGCAGAAAGCAGATCCTGCCCATGGAGCTTTTATCCTGGCATGGGCACAGGAGACAAAGAACCCAGTAAAGATGCTGGCTATGGGAGAGGCAGGCACAGAGATGGGAAATGCTGGGGGCAGATGGGGCTGGGAGCCCAAGCCCAGGGACCCTCAGAAGGGGCTTGGATTCTCCAGATGACTGAAGAAGCAGTGATATTCCTGAGGCCCGCAAGGCAGAGAGAATGGTGGGAGAGGCTGGGAGGGCCGGGGGAGGGGTGTGACCAGACCCCCTGTCCCTTCCCCAGGATGATGTGGGGGAGGGGCTGCCCTCTTTTAGAGAGGGTGAAGCTTGCTTCAGGTTCCCCTGCTGCTGCCCATGGAGGATGGAAACTGGGAAAGACTCACTGTGGCCACGGCCAGGGCTCAGGGCTGTGACATCACTCTGGGTAGGCTTCAGGCAGGTGGAGAGGGTATGTGGGGAGTGGGACTCGTCCAGGCACAGATCCTTCGTCAGGGCTGAGGGGTGATGCGCTCAGGTTGACCAGGCCCTTGCAGAGTTCCCTGATGTCTGTTGAGGGAGGGTCTGGGAACCTCTGATGGTTTGAACCCAGGAAAGCTTGCACAGACCAGTTCTCTGCACTGGCTGGGGAAGCAAGACCAACTCAGTTCCCAAACTTTTTTGTGCACCTACTGCGTGCTGGGCATATGCTCTGCCCTGGAGTTGCAAAATGGTAAGAAAGAGATCCTGCTCTTAGAACTCTCAGTGTTCAGCAGGGGTGTCACATGCAAATATCCTGTCATTAGCACACTTTTTTTGAACACCCACTCTGTGCCAGGCCACGCTAGGTGCTGAGGAGGGCTACGGAGGGACTGGTTCAAGGGTGAGAGGCCTGGGCATAAGTAACCCAGAGGAAGGTGCCAAGCACCAATGGTGCTGTCCATCCTTGCCGTCCTTTTGATGAAGCAGAAGCCAGCATTCTGTGTGCTCACGAGGAGGAGGAGAAGCCACATCTGGCCCAGGGCTCAATGAGCTGGCAGCAGGGAAGTGGGCTGCTTGAATCGAAGCAGGAGGTCAGAGGACCAGCTGTTCTGGTGGGCGGGGCTGGCACGGAGGGCCCAGGCGACAGCTTGAACCTGACAGTCCAGCGCCCCCAGCCCAAAGGCTGCTGTCCAGTTTCCCTCCCAGTGGTTGGAGATGAAGTGACTGGAGCCCATCAGTGTGAAAGTTGCCCAGGGTAGGGCCAAAACTTGGGATCCACCATCAAATTCTATATCCTGTGCCCCTGGACTTGGCCTCCCCAGGCCTCAGTCTCCCCATCTGTCCCAGGAGGAAAGCCTGGAAAGGAGTTATGGGGACAAAAGGGAAGGCCAGTGGGAGGAGGGCAGACAGTGGGAACATTCAGGCCAGTACAGAGAAGGAAGGTGCAGGCCTCCTCCGAATTCCTCACCCCCTCTCCCACCGACTCTACTCACCTCCACACCTGCCCCAGTTCCTCAGTGCCTCCACCTGTTTGAGGGGTTGGCTCAGACTCAGTGAAATCAGACAGCCACTGACTGCTCTCCCATCCCAAGGTTGCCCTGGTACCTCCCATCTGCAGCTTGGGGCTGGCCCCTTGGTATCTTGGCCAACCAGGTGCCCCTCGTGCCCCAGGCGAGCAGGCTAGCACAGAGGCCCAGAAACCCGACTGCAGAACCAGAGGCATGGGGGTGAAATCCTGGCTCCCCGCCTTACCAGCCGTGTGATTGCTCGCAACATTTATAGCTTCCCTGAGCCTTAGTTTCCCCAACAGTAAGTCAGCACAGAACCACCTTCATTGTGACAGTGTAGTGAGAAATGGTATCACGCATGACCGAGGGCTTAGGAAACTTACTGCATGTACGATTTGCTTCAGGAACAGTAGTAGCTATTTATTAGCTATGATCATTGCCACTGTGATTAGTAAGGTTGCTACTATTTAAGTAACATTTCTGGTGATACTGTTCACATCTGATTGGCATTCTCCTACTTTTCCAATCTCTATGGCATCTGTGTTCTCCTAGAGCAGATTGAGGTCATCCTCATGATTGGAATGGTGGGGGTAATGATCTGGGACCTGGTCCCCCAGTGACCAGAACTGGGTCTGGCATTCAGTTCTGACCTCCTCCTGCTTTGAGGAGGACTTTCCTTGTCATTTCACCTCCTTTTCCTGAGGACTTTCCTTGTCATTTCACCTTCTCAGAGGTAGGGACTCTTCTTATCCCCATCTCATAAATGGCAAAACTGAGGCCCAGTGAGCATAAATAACTTGCCCAAAAGAGTGCAATTAGTAAGTGGCAAAGACGAGACTTAAACCCAGGTCCTTTGGCGCTACAGCCTGCTCTTTTGAGCACTCTCTGCCTTGATGGTGAGACTTGGCTCCTGCACTTTTCCAGTGGCGCGTTGCATGCCTTCTGAGCTCTGAGATCACTCCATAAAACAGCCCGTTCTCACCCAGTCTTCCTGTTCCCCGCCATCCGGGAGTCAGATCTGCCTTTTATTGGGCTGGGGCCAGGGCCCACACCCTGCTCGCTCTCCTAACAAGGGGTCAGCCTGGGACCCAGCCCCTCGCATCAGCCCCTCCGCAGCAGCTGCCAGAGGGACTGCCAGTGATGGTGTCTGGCTTTGCACCCCTGGAGGCCATGGGGAGAGAAGAATAGGAACAGCCAGAGCTTGTCCTGAGGCCCCAGACAGGGCTGGGCCTCTCTCTGGTATTTGGAGGCTGGTATTTGAGGCTGCCTCTGCCCTGTAAAAGAGCACGCCCGGTCAGGATCACTGGGAAGCTGGAGGGCTCCTGCAGCTGTCAGAGGGTCCTGGTAGCTGGTGTGTGAAGTCGCTTCTTGAGGTCTGTCGAGTTCACCCTGGAATCAGGGAGAGGAATCAGGCAGCCGGGCGGCCTGCTTCTGATCCTTGCCTTTTTCTCTCCTCCCATCTTCTGTTCTCTTCATCCTTGAGTCCCTTGTTCATATGATAGGTTCCTAAATACCTGCCACACACCCGTGCCAGTCAGGTGCTGAGAATTCAAAGAACAACCCCGCCCAGGTTCCCTCTCTCCCTCCCCACCTCTCCCATCTCTCTTGGCCCCTCCTGTCATCCTGCTTCAAACCAAGATGGCGGGCCTCTTCCCTGGGCCGCCCCTCCTGCTTCTCTGCCCTGCGTCCCCCTCCCCTTCCTTCTCTCTTGATCCTTTCCTGCTGGCCCCTTTTCTTCCCAAGCTCTCCTCAGGCCTGTGTTCTAGATGCTTTCTCCTCTGCGGCCCTGGAGAAACACACTCAGGGTTGTGCTGGGTGTCAGGGTGGGTGTGAGGGACAGAACTTGGGTTGCCACATCCTCCTTGCTGATGGGGAAGAACAGGGGAAATGGTATTTGGGTTTTTCTCTTTTTTTGAGTTGAGGTCTCTGTTACCCAGGCTGGAGTGCAGTGGCTTGATCCCCACTCACCTCCACCTCTTGGACTCAGTCAATCCTCCTACTTCAGCCTCCGAAGTAGTTGAGACTACAGACCTGTGATTTTTTTTATTTTTTGTAGCGATGAGGTCTTTTGTTGCTCAGGCTGGTCTGGAACTCCTGGGCTCAAGCAATCGTCCCGCCTTGGCCTCCCAGAGTGCTGGGATTACGGGCGGGATCCACCATGCCTAATTGGAAATGGAAATTTGAGAAGCCCTTTTGCCAGAAATGCTGTACAACTTCTTGCAGTTGATTTTGAGAGAAAGAAGAAGGAAATGACTTATCCAGGGAGCCTTTTTGCCTGACTCTAGATTCCCAGGAAAGGTAGAGGCCCATCACCAGCTGGGTGCCCGGTCCTTCAGTATGGAGACTGCTGGGGCTGAGCACACTTGGCTGAGGGCTGCAGGCCTTCAAACTGTGCTCCTCACACTCCTGTAGCCCCAGTGTTGCTCTCACCCCTAAAAAGAGGCTTCTCCAAACTCTTTCTCCTCCCCCAGGGCCTTCCAGGATCTCGAGGCCCACCAGGCATGAGGGGAGCAAAGGGACGTCGGGTAAGTCGGGCCCAGCTCCCGGGAGCTGATGCTGGGGGTGGGGGTGCACTGGGAATGGGGCCACCGGCCAGAGACCACCGCCTGGTTCCTGTCCCTTGCCCAGCTCTGAGATCTGTGACTTTCGAAGCACCAGCAGTGTTCCAGGCTTGCCCCAGGTCTGGCTATGAGTGTGGGACCCCCCCCATCTTTCCAGCCTGTTTCTGAGCCTTGCCACCCAGCAGATCCTAACCACAGATGGGCTCTCTGGTACCAGTGCTTTGTTTATGGTTTCATTCTATCAGCATTTTATTTAGCACCTCCTTTGTGCCAGCCAGTGTTGGAGACTCTGCAGATATCATGGAGAACGGGACAGACATGACCCCTGCCTGCCCTCATGCACCAGTCGATAGGTCAGGCAGACAACTTGGCAGACCCAGACGGTCCGATACAAGATCACCAGCACTTGGATGGTGCTGAATCATAGGTTCAGGGTCATCAGCACATGAGTGATGGAAGTACCGGCAGCCTGGGAGCTTGGAGGAAGCACCTCACCTAGGCTGAGTACCCAGGAGGGATTTTAGGAGAGGGCAATGCTTGAGCTGATGCCAACTTCAGGCAGGGGACCGACAGGGGAAAGTCCTAAGGTGAGAGAAGGTGTGGCATGTATAAGGATCCCAAGGTCCATAGAGGGACAGGGGAGAGGGCTTGGACCAGGACTTATCAGGCATCAAGCAACACATGGCCTGAAAAGCCACAACTGAGCTCCAAGGAGAGTGGGGAGCCATAGAAGGTTTTAAATAAGGTCTGGGCTGAGCATAGAAGCCAAGGGTAATCACCAGAATTTGCTCTACACCAGTCACGTCGATCACATGAATTAACTTGTTCTTTTTTTTTTTTTTTTGAGTTGGAGTCTCACTCTGTTGCCTAGGCTGGAATGCAGTGGTATACTGCTCACAGCCATCGGAGCCTCCACCTGCTGGGTTCAGGCAATCCTTCCACCCTAGCCTTCCAAGTAGCCGGAACAATAGGCACACACTACCATGCCTGGCTAATTTTTCTGATTTATTGTAGAGACAAGGTCTCACCAAGTTGCCCAGGCTGGTTTCAAGCCCCCGAGCTCAGGCGATCCTCTTACTTCTGCCTCCCAAAGTCTGGGCCGCTGCGCCTGACTGAAAGAACTATTTAATCCTCAACATTGCCTTGTCAGATAGGTGCTCTTTTTTTTTTTTTTGAGTTGGAGTCTCACTCTATCACCCATACTGGAGTGCAGTGGCCGCTCCCGGCCACCGCAGCCTCGACCTGCTGGGCTCCAGCGATCCTTCCGCCTCAGCCTTCCAAGTAGCCGGAATTACAGGCGCGCATTAGCACGCCCGGCTGATTTTCTGATTTATTGTAGAGATGAGGTCTCGCTGCCCAGGCAGGTCTCGAACCCGCGGGCTCAGGCAATCCACTCACCTCAGCCTCCCAAAGGCGCGGGATTACAGGCTGAGCCACCGAGCCCGGCTAATAGGTGCTCTTTTTATTCCCATTTTATAAATGAGGAAAGAGAGGCACAGAGAGGTTAAGTCACTTGCCTCAAGTTGCACAGCTAGAAAGTGGTGGAACTAGGATTTGAACTCTAGAATCTGTTTTTATTTTTTATTTTTTGCATACTTATTTTCAGTCTTATGGGTTGGAGAGAGTTGATGGAATGGTCTCCTGCAGCCCACTGGTGCACAGGTGCCAGCAGCCTAGATGTAAAGAGGAAACAGACAGTGCAGTCAGCACTGGCAGCCCTGGCCTGATAGCCTAGCTCTGTACAGGGGATCTGTGATCATTCTTCTCCTCTTGGCTGAATTTCAAGTGGCTTTAAAATTTCCCCCAAACCAGATGGCCGGAGCAGCCAGACTGGGAAGGGAAGATTAGGAGGCATTCCTCTGGCCCAGCAGGGCCCCTCCCGGCGGCACCCATGTCCTCTGGGCCTCTTCAAGCAGGCTGAGGCCCAAAGGCAGCTAGGTTCCATCCTGATCCTGCATACGTTTCCCCCCTCACCCCGCCCCAGGAAGCTGGAATCGCAGCAGAACGAGCTGGGCCGGCCTAGGCCACCAGCCCTGCCCCAGATGCTCGGCCCCCTCCCCTCTCTGCACCCCAACCATCTCCACAGCCCCTCTCCAGAATGGCTTGAAGAATGTAACTTCTGCTCGAGAAAGCCCAGGTTTCCAACACATCAAAGATTCAGGGGTTGCGGGGAGCATCGGGAAATGAACCCCCCCTCCCAGCTTGGCAGGAATGCAAGACTTGTGGGATCGATTCCTGCCTAATAGGCCGCCCTTGGCCACGTCCCAGGTGGGGTAATTTAAGGTGGGGGACCTAGAGAGGTCTTTAACTTGACCATGTATGAACTCAACTCTGGGCAAGTCTTTATCCTCTCCTGGTTTGCCCTGTGCCCTTAGCAAGGCCCGTGGCGCTCAGTGCCCCAGTTTCCCCATATGTGCCCTGGGGAATGGGCTCAGAGGTCTGCAAAGCCCGCTTCTTGACCTTTCCAGACCTTTCTCCCCTCCGCTCAGGCCAGTGACTTCAGCCCAAAGGGACTGTGACAACTCTGAGCTCCAAGCACCTCAGGCTGACTCTGCTCCTGGGAGTGGGTGCGGAGCCTGACAGCACTGGCCTCCAATCCCCGCTCTTCCTCCTGGACCTCGGGCAACCGATCTGCCCTCCCTGAACGTCCACTTCTTCCTCTGTAAAATGGGTCAGCAACAGAACCAACCTGGAGGGCTGCCCGTGGGGGCTTCAGTCACTTACTGAGCACCTCAACCTGGTGAGCGCCTGATAAAGAGGCTCCTTCCCTCTCCTCATCTGTCCCTTTGTTACAAGAGCTGTGGTTGGGCAATTTTCTGTCCTGGGGGCAGGGGCTCCTCCCTGCCAAGCCTGACCAGGGGCCTGACCTAAGACTTCAAACGTCTCCGCAAATGGCTTTGATAGAAACCCAGGCCTGCATCCAGAGGGCGGAAGTGGGGGAGTGGGTGGCTGCCATGGTCCTCTGTGGAAGCAGGGGGCAGGACAGGTGAGCCCCTAGACAAGCTGCACAGGGGCCCAGGGCAAGGGTTGCCCCTGCCCCCCTCTTTCCCAGTAGAGCTGGGGAGACAGGATGGCTGGTGGCCTTACTGCTTCCTCCTCCCTCCCAAGCCAGGCTCCCTGAGCTCCCTGGTGGCCCACAGGGACAATGGGTTCTCCCAGAAGAGAGGAATTTTAGACCTTGTCTTCTCCAACACCCTGTCTCAGTGCACAGCTTTCCTGGCAAGCTTCTCTGTTCCCCGACTTGCATACCACCTGTGATGAGAAGTTCACTTTCTTTTTTTTTTTTGTTTTGTTTTTTTTTGAGTTGGAGTTTCACTCTGTTGCCCAGGCTGGAGTACAGTGGCATGCTCATGGCCACCGCAGCCTCGACCTGCTGGGCTCAGGTGATCCTTCTGCCTCGGCCTTCCAAGTAACTGGAGCTACAGGTGCACGCCACCACGCCCAGCTAATTTAAAAAAAATTTTATTGTAAAGACAAGGTCTCGCCGAGTTGTCCGGGTTGGTCTCGAACCCGCAAGCTCAGGCATTCTACCCACCTTGGCCTCCCAAAGTGCTGGGATTACAGTCTGAGCTACCAAACCTGGCCAAGGAGCTCACTTTCTTTCTGATAAACAGTGGCAGGTAGTGGTGGACAAAAAGAGGGCCTTCAGCTGACTGGGTTCAAATTCTGGCTCCTCCACCTACTAGCTGTGTGACCATAGGCGAGTCAACCTCCATCCTAAACCCATTCCTTTATTCGTAAAAGAGGATAACAACTTTCACCATTAATACCACTGGTTCTGTCACTGTTATTAGATCATGTAAGCTTTCCCCTGGGAAGGCTTTGATTCCTGGGATTACAAAGTGCTCCCACCACCTCTGAGCCTGTGCTCCACTCTCAGAGTTCTCCCTTTACGGGGAGATTCCTGACTGCTAGAGACAGAGGCCTTCTCTCAGGAGGGCTCAGCTGGACTGGTTCTGTGATATGGGATGCCCCCCTCCATCTGACTTCAGCTCCATCGTGCCAGTGTCCATGAATCTAACAACACGGTCTGACAGTGTCCACATAGGCCTGATATGGAGACCCAGGGAGGCCACAAGGCTTTCCCAGGTCACACAGCAAACCAGCAGCACAGTAGGACTACACTAAGCCCTGTCATGCGCACCAGAGAGGGATGGTTTGGGAGTTCATTGAATCTTTGGATGGGTGCAGTGGCTTATCCCTACAATCCCAAGGAGGATTGCTTGAGCCCGGGAGTTTGAGACCAGCCTGGGCAACATAGCGAGACCTGGTCTCCACACCTGGTGGTGTGTGCCTGTAGTCTCAGCTACTTGGGAGGCTGAGATGGGAAGATTGCCTGAGCCCAGGAGGTTGAGGCTGCAGTGAGCCATGACAGTGCCAGTGCACTCCAGCCTGGGCAACAAAGTGAGACCTGACGCAAAAACAAACCAACCTTGCCTTGAATCCATGAAAACTCTGCTGGTTTTATATTGCCTAATATAAGCTGTTGTCCTGAGGAAGGGACTGAGTCCGGATTCACCATGCTGCTCCTGTGTCCCTGCCTCTGGGGAGCACAGTGGGGACAGAACCGGACTATCGAGCACTTTTTGCCCGGTGCTGAGCTGCCTGTGTGCATCGCCTGCCTCAAGGGAGAAGCTTCTTATCCCCATGTCAGAGATGAGAAACTGGGGCTCGGCAAGTAGCAGCCGCTGGTCCCCAGACACATTTCCTGAGCGCCCCTGTGCCTAGGGCCGGACCCCGCAGTGGGCCCAGAGTTGCCTCCACCCGGGAGCCCCCATTCCCGGTTTGTTGACTCAGTACGGGCTTCTTCAAGGCTGCGGTGTGGAATGGAAGCCCCGGAAGCTCTGGGCAGCTGAGACATGGAATTTTCACTTTTTCTGGCCTAGTTATTAATTGAGAAATGTGTGATCTTTTTTTTTTTTTTTTGAGTTAGAGTCTCACTCTGTCACCCAGACTGGAGTGCCGTGGCCGCTCCCGGCCACCGCAACCTCGACCTGCTGGGCTCCAGCGATCCATCCGCCTCAGCCTTCCAAGAAGCTGGAATTACAGGCATGCGCTACCACGCCCAGCTGATTTTTTTGATTTATTGTAGAGATGAGGTCTCGCTGCCCAGGTGGGTCTCGAACCCGCGGGCTCAGGCAATCCACTCACCTAAGCCTCCCAAAGGTGTGGGATTACAGGCTGAGCCACCGAGCCCGGCTAAATGTCTGATCTTTAAATGACTTTTCCTCCTTTTGTGTTCTCATTCCTCATCCTCCCCTCTCTCGGATCCCTCCCTCGCTCCTTCCTTCTGGGGGAGCATGGCAGTCTGGTCTGGGGCTCCTGGGCTGGGGTGGGCCAGCCTCCTCCACAGGACACTCTGCATTCCCTCAACGCGGGCCTCTTTTGACCCCCTCTAGAACAACCCCCATGCTGTTCCCCTTGGACCTTTCCCAGGAGACCCCATCTGTGTGGTGGTGGGAGGACCCCTGGAGAGGACACATGGGGCAGGGAGTGGAGCCCGTGGGGGTGCGGGTACCCACTGTTAATGTGCTGAGGAACCTGGGATAAGTCACTTCCTCTGGCCGGGCCTCGATGTTCTCATCTGTCTAGTGGGGGCATGGGCTGGGTCTCTCAACAGCTGGGGACCAAAACTGCGGTCCTGAGTGTTCAGACCCAAGCCTGGGCTTCAGGAACAACGGCCTGACTCCCGCCCGCTCAGGCACACCCTACCCCGTTCCTGTGCCCTGCTCAAGTCAGATCTTCCTCTGTGAGCTGGGCCAGGCTGGTTGTGCATCTGGCTAGAGATGAGTCTGCTGCACACATCTGGCCAGGTGCAGACCCTCTCTGGGCCCTGCTCTGTCAGTTTCCCCTGCTTCTGCCCCACATGTGCTCTGGGAAGGTCATGTGGCAACAGTCCAAAGAGCTGGCTTTAGGGCCTTGGCCATGTGAGGCCAACGCTGGCCCTCAGTCTCCACATCAATGCAATGGGTTGGCTGGTGACCCCCAAGCTCTCTCTAAAGAGGGCCGTTCATGCAACAGTTCTGGAAGGGTGGGTCCACCCGTGCCATGCCCTCTGCAGAGCCCTCTCAGCAGGCACTGTGCAGGGGTGGCCCACCTGGGGTGGGGTATGGGGAAGTGGGAGGAGGAGCCCAGGCTTGCACAGGGAGAGGCCCAAGGCTCTGGGCTGCCCCACCCTCCTGGTTCTCAGCCCAAGGGAGACCCCTGCCGTCCACTGTGCTAGTCCCTTTTTTCTATTCCAGGGCCCCCGAGGACCAGATGGACCAGCTGGGGAGCAGGGGTCCCGGGGCCTGAAGGTACCGACCCCCGGCCTGTCCTCCCCAACACTTCCCATGGGGAGCCAGGAATCAAAAACCAAGGCTCATACCTTCCTCCAACCCAGGACCCCTAGGGTTGAGCAGGCCTAGAGGCTGCAGGGCGTACTCCAAGAGTTCAGCCCTCCCTCTCCTCGTGCCCCCACTGCGAGCCCAGAACTGGAGGCAGCAAGAGACAGAGAGAGTGAGGAGGGATCACGTGGGTCCTCTGACCCGTGCCCAGACCTCAAGTCCCCAAGGCTCCTTGAGCTGAGCTGCCTCTGGCAGCCCCGTCGAAAGGAAAGGGTCCCCAGTTCTCTCCCAGAGCACCTGGCCACAATGGCAAGCCGCTCCCATTGCTGGGCCTCAGTTTTCCCACCAGCTCAATGGGGAGAGGGGTGGACTCTGTGTCCTCACGGGTTCCTTTTATCTCCCATGGGGAGGGGTTCCCTTCTTGGCCAAGGGTCCTCCCAGCACCATCTCCCGCCTTCTCGTGTCTGCTTTCTGCAGGGCCCCCCAGGACCTCAGGGCAGACCGGGCCGGCCTGGACAGCAGGTATGTCAGGCCAAGGCCGAGCAGGCTGGCCACAGGCCCCCTCCCTGCTCCCTGCTTTGCGATCTGAGCCTCTAATGATCCCCACATGTGCTTCCAGGGTGTGGCTGGTGAACGAGGCCACTTGGGCCTGCGAGGCTTTCCCGTAAGTAGTACCAGTTCTGGAGATTCTCCACGTGGGGCTTTTTTGGGGGGAACATAGCCACTTTGACCAAGTTCCCATCCTTCTGTGGAAACCCCAGAGGTTCTGGTTGCCCTGCCCTCTGTGCTGAAGCCACCCCCCCCCCCCCCCCCCCCCCCCCCACTTCCCAGCCTGTCTCCTCCCCTCTGAGTCTCAGTCTTCTCACCCTTTGGAGGCAGGGTGAGGGCTTGCCTGGGGCTAAGGGGCCAGGCAGGGTGGAGAAGGCTACAGAGAGACTAAGGTCACCTTTGCCTTGTCTCTGCAGGGCATCCCAGGTCCCTCAGGCCCCCCAGGTGCCAAGGGCGTCCCAGGAGAACCGGTAAGAGACTATTCCCTCTCTGTTTTGCCAGGTGATTAGATGAGGAGAGGGCTTTCCGAAGGGCCAGTTCATGGGTGCTGGAGAGAAGCTCAGCTCCCTGGCCTTCCTGCCTGTTTTCTTGTCAGGAAGATAGGGGCGATGGTCTCCATTCTGTTGTGAAGATGAATGAGAAAATGTATAGGGTGAAGGGAAGGAGGGAGGATAGAATTATCCAGGTGACTGAAGTGGAGGCTTCAGGGCCTTAGGGAGGCAGGAGGAGGTGGCAGGGCCATCGCCTAAGGCCATGGCTCTTTGTTCCCACAGGGAGCCATTGAAGGGCTTGAGGCTGGGGGTGATCCACCTGGGGGGATGGTTGTGGGGGACAGTCGGGGAGTCCCATGAAAATGCTGGAAAGTGGTGCTACAGGAGATGGTGGGCAGAAGACAGAGCCTGTGGTTGGGAGGACGACTCCCTGGACAAGGCAGGGGAGGACAGGAGGCTCCCATCCCCAGGACTGCTGTGGTAGACCCACACCTTGAAGCCCAAAGAGTCGCCCTTCTGAACAGTGAATTGGGCCAGGGGCGGGGTGGGTGGGGGTTTCCAAAGGTGGATCCGAGGCGGAAAGGCATTCCAGGCAGGGGGAACAGAGTGAGCAGGGCTCAAGAGCTAGGAGGCTTCTAGTAGGGGAGGCCCCTGAGCTATTGTTGGGTGAACAGGAAGGTGTGCAGCTGGGCAGGACGGGACATGATGGAATCCATGGTGAGGAGGGGGCTGCAGATACCAGTATCTCAACGTGGCTGGGGTGGGTTGGCTGCCGAGTCCCAAGCTCTGGGGTCTTCTCCCTCCTTCACCCCTCTAGACCCCAGGCTGGCTTCTCCCAACTGTCTGTCTGTCTGTCTTCCAGGGACCCCAGGGACCCCAGGGGCCAATTGGGCCTCCGGGAGAGATGGGACCCAAGGTGAGTATGAGGACCCCTGTGTATCCCATAATGCCTTGGGGGAACGTGTCAGCTCTTCCCAGCCCTCCACCTCAGCGGTCCCCATCTGCCGATTCCTATCCTGGCCCAGGGAGGTGGCCATGTACTGCTTGCTGCAGAGGTGGGAGGTGGATTCTGGCAGAGAGGGTGGGTCCATCCCAGTGGCACAGGGCAGGGAGCAGGACTCCTAGTCCAGGGGCTTCAGGTGGGAGGCAGGGGTGCCAGGGCGCTTGGGGGAATGGCGATGTCTCTCTTGGTGTCACTGATGGTGGCAATGCCTTCCACTCGCAACCTCGTTGGGGCACTGCCCAGCACTGAGGCATGACTGTGGGTCCAGCCCGCTGGGGCTCTTGTGGCAGGGAGCTTGGAGCAGCCTTGGGTGCCCTTGGCTTCCCCAGAGGAGACACTGAACCCCGGGGCTTCCTTAATGGCTGCAGCCCGTGGACAGGGAGAACCCAGAACCCCTTCCCGCCCACCCATCCTGGCTCTGCTGCAGAAAGGATTGAGTTGCTTGGCCCTGAACACAGCGCATTGGCTTCCTCCCCTGTCGTTATGTGAATCATGAAACGTTTCTCCCTGGGCCTTGCCAAGGGGCTCTTGATGTGGTAAACCACACTTGTGGGGAGGGAGACACGGCTCTATCCGCCTCTGGGAGTCGCGAGGCTCAGCCTGGTTCCACCCCAGTCCCAACTCCAAGCTCCTAGAAGTTGCAGCCTGCTCCCACCTCGGCGTCTCTCGTCCCGTGACCTCCGGCACGTCCCTTGTCCTCTCTGGGCCTCAGTGATCTCCTAGTTTACAACTGGGGCCGGCTCTTGCTCTAGGGGGCACCAATGAATGGCATTTTCTTGCAGGGGCCGCTGGGTGCAGTGGGAGAGCCAGGCCTTCCTGGGGAAGTCGGGATGAAGGTGAGGAGGGATGAAAGACGAGAAAATGACTCGTTGAAACCAGCGCCCAGCTGGCAGCCGCGTCCTCTCCACGGAAGAGAAACGGGTCTTTCTTGTGCCCGGGATAATGGGTTCTCTGTGCTCCTGGCTGGGGCGTGGGGCCTGGTGGTGGCCATGGTGGAGTGCGCGCCCTGCCCCGCCCCCTGCCTGGCAGTGTTCTTTCAGGCACCTGCCCTGCCTCCACGCTGGAGCGGCTGCACCTCCTGGCCTGGCGCCATACCATCTGCATTTCAGCACCGGTGCCCCTCATTACCTGCCGAGAAACAGGCGCCCATTGATACCTGGGCAGAGCCCCCTCCCCGATCTGCTGTTCCCTACGCAGGACCCTGAGCTGATGAGCAATGCTGGCGGCCCAACGACATTGTTGAGGCTGGGCCCAGGGGAGTGCACCCAGGGGCTGTAGGGCTTGAGGCAGGTCACCCACCTTCTGTGTCTGAGCCTCCTGCCACTCAGAGAGGGAGTTGGCCCAGGCCTGGAGCTGTCATACCTGGCCCAGCTCTAGAATCCTTTGCTCAAACACCAGTGAAAAATACCACCCTGTATAGGAAACTGATAGTGGGGTCATCTCCATAGGAGCTGGGCTGGGGGCTCAGGGCTCTGCCTTCCCCTTGGGCCCCCAGACACCAGCAGGGAGCAAAGCTGGGAAATCCCCGAATGCAAAGACACTTTTAGGGTCTTTAAGGGGACGGATGAAGTTTATTCTGGCTCATTTAAGGCTTCCTCCTCCTTTCGGTTTCTCTCTGAGTCTCTCAGGGAGAGTAAAGAAGGCATTAATCCACATAGTTGCCATCCCTGCAGGCAATGTACCCAGAGCCAAACTACCCAGGTTTGAATCCTGAATCTGTCACTGATCAGCCTCATGGGCGCTTAGGCTACTTACTGAACCCCTCAGTGCCTCAGTTTCTTCATCTCCTTAGTGAAGTCAAATGTGTTAATATAAAAAAGTATTTGGACCGACTCAGTGGGTCATGCCTATAATCCCAGTGCTTTGGGAAGCTGAGGCGGGAGGATCGCTTGAGGCCAGGAGTTGGAGACCAGCCTGGGCAACATAGCAAGACCTTGTCTCTATTTAAGAGAAAATTTTTTTGAGTTGATGTCTCACTTTGTCATCCAGGTTGGAGTGCATGCGTGCAGCCTTGACCTGCTGGGCTCAGGTCATGGCCACCGCAGCCTTGACCTGCTGGGCTCAAGTGATCCTTCTGCCTCAGTCCTCCATACCCGGCTAATTTTTTTTATATATTGTGAAAGCGAGGTCTTGCCATGTTGCCCAGCTAAGTTTACGTAATCCTCTCACTTCGCCCTCCCAAAGTGCTGGGATTACAGCTGTGAGCCACTGCACCCAGCCTTATAAAAAAAAAATTAGCAATTAGCCAGGGGTGGCGATGCACAATTGTAGTCCCAGCTACTCTGAGGTTGAGACAAGAGGATCCCTTGAGCCCAGGAGGTTGAAGCTGTGGTGAGCTGTGTTTTCGCCACTCCACTCCAGCCTGGGCAACAGAGTAAGACTTTGTCTCAACAACAACAAAAACGTCCTCAGAGCAGTGCTGTGTGCTAGTGGTGACGACGATGATGATGGTGGTGGTGATGATGGTCGTGGTCCTCGTGGTCTTTCTGCCTTGGCATGACGAAATCCCATGGCTGGACCTTACTTGGAACAGGAGCTCTGGTTGAAACTCTACAATTTCTCTTTAGTCCTTGGGAAGAAAAGCCCTACCAGTCCGCCTCCCCCACCCCAAGTCAGAGCTGGTGGAAGCTGGCCCTCCCTACCCCCATGGACTTTTGTTTGGCTTCTCCTAGGGTGACCTTGGACCCCTGGGCTCCCCTGGGGAGCAGGGCCTCATTGGGCAGCGGGTAAGTTGAAGCAAATTCATTCTCCCTGAAAAGCCCCCAGGGTGTGGGCGCAGGGGGAGGGAAGAGAAGAACGGTACTCAGTTTCCCTCCCTGAGCCTCAGTTTCCTCAATTTCAGAAATAGGTTATGAATCTCTGCAGTCCTGTCCAGGCTTCTTGGTAGGCAAATACTTCCACAATGTAGAGAAACTCATTTTGGGGGCAAAATGTCTGGGGCCCGCTGCATGCTGTGTTCCTTCTTACGTTATCGGTAGCACTGTCAAGGCTCTGAGGAGTTCTGCAATCAAGAACTCTGGTTTCTTTTGGATTCATCCAAGGCCTTCAAGCTTGTTTGACCCCCAGATACTTTCACTGAAAAACATATGTCACCCTCAAACACTGTTCCATGTTAGGCTACCTTCCCATTTTCCAAAAGAAATCCACAAAGCTTGTCTTGCTCTAACGAGCTATAGCTGCCTAAATGTGGACCCCTGGGGCACGGTGAGGATGCAGAGCTGGCATCCTACAGTGCTGCACAAAGGGGGTAGGTGGGGCACAAGAGAGAGTTAGCATGGGTCTTGGTTCATGGGGCCACCGGACCCCACCCAAGTTTCCTCATCTCTCATCTTCCTTTTTTTCTGATGCCCCATACTACCCATGGCCCAAAGGCAACAGAGGCTGCACAAATTGAGTTAAGCTCTAGAATGAAAGGGCGAGTCCACAGGGTGAGAGAGGGTGAGCAGGGAGCTTGGAGCCCTGAAGAGGCAAATCTTGGTGTCCACTGAGATTGATTCATAGTCTTCTTAGAGGGCTGTGTTAAGACGGATCCTGAGACTCTGTTGAGGCTCAGAAGGAAAGAGAATGATGAGCCCTCATCTGATGCCTGCTGTGTGTCAGGCACTTTTCTCAAGGCACTGAGAACAGAGCAGTGGCTAGCAGAAGGCCTGTCTCTGGAGCTCTTGTTCCAGTGGGTTGATTAGTGATGCCTGCCATGGGAAAAAGAGGAGCAGAGTCAACATGCTTGTTACACCTTTGCCGTCCCTGCATCTGATCGCCCCTGAGCCCCCATCCAGCTCAGGCTCTGAACAGCTATGATCCAAAAGGTAGAGAGAGAGAGACCCAAAGTTAATGTGATGGCCACATAGAGAACTGAGGAATCTAGAGGCATCTTTGGAGCTGGGAGGGCAAGCCTGGTTGAGGGTCAGATGGAGACTCAGGGTTCTTACGGTCATTCTAACACTTACTGGCAAGAAAGCCTAAAGACTGGCCATACTTTTCTTATCTGAGACATGGGGTTCTGTCATGAAGGCATACTCCAGTCCCAGGAGTGCTATCTCAGAGGCTGCCGTGTGTGGGGTGCTTACATTGTGCCCTGCGGCAAGCCTTGGTGGAAGTGCTGCTGGTCCCGTTTCAGATGGAAACACAGATGTCCATGGGGACTAAGCTGTTTGTTTGTGGTCAGACAGCCAGTGAACGTGAACCCCAGAAGGGGCACTGAAGTCGGTCTGACGTGAAAGCCCATTCTTGACCACTAGGCCACACCGCCGCCCCTGCCTGTCCCACCAGCTGGACAGTGTCCAGGACAGCTCTGTGACAAGCACTTTCTAACTGTGACCTCACGTAGCCCCTGGCCCACACCACCCTGCGGACAGAGCCACCCTCGGCCCGGGGTCTGTTCCCCCTTTCTGGATAACTGTGAGGGCCACCTCAACCCTTTTGCTCATTCGTTAATCCAGTCCCTGCCTGTTGTTCCCCCCCCACCTGCCCCCATGTCCCAGGACTCCAGGGATCCACTGCCTGGAGGTCTGGGGGTTGGGATCCTGCCCCTGGGAGGGAGGAGGGAAAAGCACACTGGGGCTCCTCTTCGGAAATGTCTCCTCATGTTTTCCCATCACCCTTTCCAGGGAGAGGCAGGCCTTGAGGGTGACAGTGGCCCCTCGGGGCCCGACGGGCTGAAGGTGAGTGTCCTTCCAGGGTGGGGTCTGGGGAGGAGGGTTCTGTCATTGTACCATCACTCACCCACTCCCAGACCTAAGTTTCCTCCCAGAAGCACCGTGCTGCCTGAAGCTCTGAGACAGACCTCAGCTCCCATGGAGAGCAGGGCTGCCTCCCACCCTGCCCTCTGGCTGCCTACTCTGGAGGACCCAGGGCCATCCCCACCTTCCCATCTTCCTTGGGGTCCTTCTCCTTGAAGTACCAGCTCCTCTTGGCCAAGGAGTTCCTGTGCACCCTCTCTGGGCCAGTCTGGGAGCCGAGGGCTTGGTCTCTATTATCTTCTAAACATTCTAAGATCAGGAAAATCAAAATCCCCACCCATGGCCTGTGAGCCACTGTTTAGGGAGGACTAGTCACGCATGGACGAACTGCTGCTCTAAGCCCTCTCTGTGCACCATCTTGATCAGCGCCTCGAGGTAAGTGCTGTTTTTAGATGAGAAAACTGTGACTCAGAGAGGTTCAGCAGCTCACCTGAGGGCACACAGCTAGTAATTGGCACATCCAGGACTCACATCTGGGCCTGTCTTGGCTCACTCTCCTGCACCATGTGCCCACTCTAAAGGTGAAAAGACGGAGGTTTGTAGGGAGGCAGAGATGTATTCATCCAGAGTCCATGGCTGTGAGTGGAGGATCTGAAATTCAAGTCCATGGCTCACTGGTACCAAAGCCTGTTGGCCTAACTTGACCCCGCTGCCCCCTGTAGACTCTTCTGTCAGCCACAAATGCTGGGGCTCTAGGAAGGCACCTGGGCTCACCTGAACTGCGGCCAGGCGGGTGGTTGCCCCTCTCTGACTCCAGCCCTGCCTCCAGGGCTGCTGGCCTGTTCCCCTGTGCAAGTCAGCTCCCCAGCTCAGGGGAGTGCCTCGTCCTGGGAACTCCCTCCACTTCCCCCCTACTCTTTATTTGACCTCAGATAAGCACCTGCTCCTCTGAGCCTCGATTTCCCCATCCCCAGACCTCCACTCCCACCGCCCCCAAACCCAGCTGCTCTGGGTCCTGGTTCCTGTCTCCCAGGGTGCCTTGGTGACAGGCCCCTGCTAGCTCCCCGTTTTCTTGCAAGGCCGAGAGCGCCCCCTGTCGGTTATCTCCTGCTTTCTCGCTCCTAGCCTTGCTTCCTATGGTAAGGCCTGGCCCTGGCCAGAGCCCTGGAGCACATGACCGCCTTGCACGGCTGCTATACTGGGCTGCGATGCCGATACAGGTGGTGGCTAAGACGCTTTGGGCACTCACCGTGGGCCGAGCGCCACCCACCCTAAGGGCTTTTTGTGAATTGACCCATTTAACCCTCCCAGCTACTTTCCATCCCCACCTGACAGATGAGGAGACTGAGGCAGGATGCAGCGGCCACCTCACTCCGCTCTGGGCAGCCACCTTCTCCTTGAATCTTTGCCCAGGTGGAATGGGAGGGAGTCCTCCGAGCTGGGTGCCTCTGAGTCTCTGAATCCCAGCTCCATGGTCCTGGCTTTGTCCTTTCCCCTCCCTCCAAGCCAGTCCTACCTGAGTCCTTGTACCCAGATACACAACATCCTCCTTGGTTATTGCATCGATCCCAGGAAAGACTGGGTTTTCCTTATGGTGTTTGTCCAGGAGTCACCTCGTGGTGAAAGCTGCCTCTGTGATGTGCACAGCACTTTAGAGTTTATAGAGTGCTTTTATGCCCCTGAGTTCCTTTCTGACAACCAACTGATGGCGGTGATGGTGGCAGTGGCCAATGGCAGTTAACCTTTATCCAGCACTCATGTGCCAGACACTCTGCTAAGCTATTTATGTGGTTTATCTCTTCCAATCCCCCCCATAATCCTTTGATCCTTTTTTACAAATGAGGAAACTTGCCCAGGGTCATGCAGCTATTCAGTGGCGGCAGCGAGATTTGAACTTAGGTGATTTGAACTTAGGCAGCATAACCTTGGGGATATAGGGAGATAGTGTGGTGGTGGGGGGTTGCCCCCTAGGCAGAGAATCTTGGAGTTAGAATGAGCCAGAATCATGCTCTACCGCTGACTTGCTCTGTGGCACTGGGGAATGTCCACCTCTCTCTGGGCCTCAGTTTCCCCATCTATAAGTTGAGAGGGTTGAGCTAGACATCTCGCAAGGCTCTTCTGAGCACTGGCAGATGGCTGAGGATTTGGGGAGTCCCCAGGAAGCCCCAGAGCATGTTCTGCATGGGATCCACAAGGATGCCCACTCTGTGGATCTGAGTGGTCCTGGAGCCTGGTCCCCCGCAGGGCCGCAGCTTGGACCCTTTGTTGAAAATGCACTCAGCCACCTGGCACAGGCTGCCTGCCTCTGGGAGTCAGGAGAGCAGGTGGCTGGGATGACAAGCCAGAAGAGGAATCCCAGAGCCAGAGGAGTCTACGAGAGAGTCATCTGGGCCAGGCCCCTGTCTCCATGCCAGGCTGGGCTTGGAATCTGAGCTTCAGTGGGCAGGGACCTCAGAAGCCAACCTGGTGCCCAGATCTGCTGTGCGCTGGCCACACCTCAGCCTGGAATCTCCCTCCCTCATCTGTGCTGTCTCTGGACGGCTCCCTTAGAAGTCCCCGACTGAGCGACAAACTGCCCCAGTGACACCCCACCCCTGCCTCCTGCCCAGCGCCCAGGCCCCCACGGGCCCGGCTTGCAGGAGTCCGGCTCTCAGCAGCTGCTCCCGAGCCTCTCTTCCTGGCAGGCTGAGCCGCAGCTGCAGCTTCTTGCTGGCTGCACCTGCCAGCTCTGTGTACACACCAGCTCATCAACGTCCCACATGAAGCATGGTGCCAGGAGACAGCACTGGCAGAGTACACTCTGCTTCTCCAAGTCTGTTTCCCCACCCCTCCTCATACCCACCTCCATGCCCTCCCCCTACAGGCTCCCCGAACAGTCCCAGCTCAGCCATGTGCAGACTGCGCATGGGCCCTGCCTGGCCTGCCAGCCCTGGTGGAGTCACCTCTATGGCCACCGCTGTGCCCCTCTGTGGCCACGCCCATGCTGCTCCCCTCACACCTGCTTTGCCCTTGGTGCCAGGGTGATGGCCTGTGTCCATCCCAGAAGAGCCCAGTTTGTCCCGCTCTACTCAAGGAGCATATGATGCTGAGTGATGAGAAAAGCAAGCTGCACTGGCTGCTTCAAAACCACAGGAGCCGGTGCCAAGGGTGGCCTTTCCAAAGAAATAGCCTCAGGTGCCCCAAAACCCCAGAAGTCCCAAGAAGACTTGGGTGACAGTCCTGCTAATCATCGAGAGGACATCCTCAGACTCCCACTTGTCAGGGACAGACTGGGTGCCCTAGTGCCCGCTTCACATTCCAGCTCCACAACTAGCAAGTTGCAGGACTTTGGGCCAGATGGTTTAACTTAACTCTGCCTTGGTTTTCTCATCTGTGAAGTGGTAAAAAAAGAGTACCCACCTTGGAAAACTTTCGTGAGGATTAAGTCAGTTGATACATGCAAAGGGCCCAGAATGTGATCCAGATGTGCCCAGTGCCATAGAAATGTTAGGCTATCCGCTCGACAGAGAAAGTATTCTTCCACCAATAAGAATGATCACCCACAGAGCAGGCAGCAACAGGAGCACATGCTCACCACAGAGCAAAACATTAAGAACAACAAGAGATGAGCCCTGAACCCTGCTGGAGTGTGCATTTAAAGCTCAGTCTCTGCTAACTAGCTTCACTGCCTTGGAACAGTTGCTGTACCACCTTGAGCCTGGCACACAGCAATCAGAACAGCTACCTACTATTTGTTGTTATTGTCATACCCTGTTTTGGGACCAGCAAGGGTTGAAAGTGCAACTCAGAAAAAGGCAAAGAGTTGGTTCTAAGAGGCAGAATTAGGTGAATTTTTTTTCTTGATAATAATGTCTTTGAGCCAGTCTCAGTGGCTCATTCCTGTAATCCCAGAACTTTGGGAGGGTGAGCCTGGAGGATTGCTTGAGCCCAGGAGTTGGAGACCAGCCTGGGCAACATAGCAAGACTCCTCTCTACAAATAAGTCAAAAACTGGCTGGCTGTGGTGGCACATGCCTGTGTAGTCCCAGCTGCTTGGGAGGCTGAGGCAGAAGGAAAGTTTGAGCCCATGAGGTTGAGGCTGGGGTGAGCAGTGATCGTGCCACTGCCCTCCAGCCTGGGCTGTAGAGTGCGACCTCAGCTCAAAAAAAAAAGAATGCCTTTGAGCTTATTAAGACTTGTTCTCCAATGTGTTTAAACTGGCAGAGAAATTGCCCTTGTCTCCCAACCTGACCCCTTCCTGTGAAGTCTATGGGGTGGGTGTGCTCAGGACTCTGGCTTCTTTCTGAGCTCCCTGCCCTGGCCTGGGTCCAGGCAGGGACATATGGAGACCTCCATGTCTGGGATGTTTCCTGTGCTGGCTGAGTCACACCAGCCCGACCCTTTTGGCCACTCGGGGAACCGTTGGGGGAATCTGCAGGCCCATTGGCTATGGACGCCCAAAGGGAACTCTGAGGTTTAAGGCCGCTGATGGGCTTGGTGACTAATTTATTCTCTCTTTCCCATCCTCATGCCCTCCCCCCCAGGGGGACAGGGGTGACCCTGGGCCTGACGGTGAACATGGCGAGAAAGGCCAGGAAGGGCTGACGGGCGAGGATGGGCCTCCCGGGCCTCCTGGCATCACTGGCGTCCGGGTGAGTGCACAGGCTGCATGGGATGTTGGGGCTGTGGGGGTGCCCTCGACACAAGCCTGTGGAGGCAGCTAGGCGCGAGGTCTTCTGGCAGCAGTCACCTAGGGGTTTTCTTCCTTCCTCCACCCGGGAGTGTGCCAGAGAACCAATCTGACCACATCCCTCCCTCCCCTGCTTGGTCCCCTGAAGCTCCTCAGAACCCCCTGGATTCTGCCTTAGCCTGACTGCCGGCCCCGAACATGTCTGACCCCACCCACTCATCTCTTGCAACCCCCACATCTAGTCATTCTGGACTTTTTCAGTGTTGGACAAGCTGTGGCTCTGACCCCTGGACCTTTGCACGTGCTCTGTCTGAGACACACTCTTCCTCACTCCCCTGTCACCTACTTAACTCCTATGTGGCCATCAACTATCATCATGGAAGTCGCCTAATCCATAAAGCCACCCCTGACCCCCAGACTGGGCCATGAGCCTCCAAGGGCATGCATAACCCCCAGTGTGTGTCTTGACCTCTTGAAGACCAAGACCTTGTCTGGTTTACGTTTATGTTTTTTTTTTTTTTAGTTGTAGTCTTACTCCACTGCCCAGGCTGGAGTGCAGTGGCATGCTCACAGCCACCCCAGTATCGACCTGCTGGGCTCATGCGATCCTTCCGCCTCAGCTTTTCAAGTAGCTGGAACTACAGGCATGCGCTACCACGCCTGGCTAATTTTTTGATTTATTGTAGAGATGAGTTCTCGCCAAGTTGCCAGGCTGTTCTCAAACCCGTGGGCTCAGGCAATCCTCTCACCTCGGCCTCCCAAAGTGCTGGGATTACAGGCTTGAGCCACCGCGCCTAGCCACGTTTATGTCTTTAACACCTTGCCCGGTGCCTAACAGATAGAAGGTGACCAAACTGTTGATTGAAAAGACAGAGAAGCTCTGCTCTTCAGAAACTCACTTAGACTACAAATGCCCATGATATTCTTCCCGGGGCTAGGTCCCCTGAGGGTGAAGAGGTGAGTCAGACATTATCCCTGTCCTTGAGGGACCTAGACCTGGTAGGGAACAGAGCAGAGTTGTCCCGTGTCACTGTGCAGAGACAAGTTGCCCAGCGCTTTCCAGAATGTTCCCTTTGTGGCACAGATAGTAATCCCTGAGGCCTCAGAAAATCAGAGAGGTAAAGGAACTTGCCCAGGTTCCCACAGGAACACATGGCAGAGCTGGGGGTTGAAGTGGGGACTGCTTGACTCTAATATATGGTTCCTCGGCTCCGGCAGGTTGGAACCCGGGGCTTGAGTGTGGAGCTGTGAGGGTGAGGCAGGCAGAAGAGTCTCAGATAGGAGACCGATGGCGTGGAACTTGACTGTGGGGGGGAGTGGAGGGCCTGCATGGTCGAGCAGTGTTGGTGTGACCTGGGAGTGCCAGGCTGGTTCATTCAGACTGCTTGGGCCTGTAGATGAGGTGGCCTTGCAGACAAGCTGCTCGGCTCTGCAAGCCCACCGGTGTCTACCTGGAGCCAGCCCCAGGGTGGAAGCTGCCAGGCTGCCTTTCTGGCTGTCCTCTCACCACTGGGCCTGATGCTCTTACCTGGGCTCAAGCAGCCCTGTTTCATTCCGACCTGCCTGTGACGTTCTTTTTCCCTCCTGAAATGTTTATATGATTAACCTAGGACAGATCCAAGTCGCTGCAACAAACTGTGGTGTGGGAAAATATTTGTTTCCTAAAAATAGAATGGATGTGCTAATCCCCCTAAACAGCTGCAGCAGAATGAGTTCACTAACAGACAACGAGAGGAGAAGACGAGGTGGCCCTCAGGCAGTCCCGAGGCTTTCCTGGGGCTGGACTCAGAGGTGGGGAGAAGGGCCAGGGGAAAGGAATTCAGCAGGGGGGCCTGGCTCTGATTCACCATCATTACTTGACCTTTTACTTGCCCCTTGCTGCCTCTGGTCTTGCCTTTGGTACGATGAAGGATTTGGAAGGAACGTCTGCTGAGATGACATGGAGTCCCAACATTCCAGGGACCCCTTTCTAGTGAGTTTTCAGTATCATCCCGGGAATGGGCAGCGATGTGTACCAGAATCCAAAGGTCGAACCCAAGCTTCTGGCGGAGCAACCTACTTTCTGGGTGACTTTGGGCAAATCCCTGCCCTCCTCTGAGCCTTGTTTTTCCCACCTATAAAGAATAAGTGAAACTCTGGATAGGAGAGCACCACAGATATACCCAGTTGTCTTCATACATGTGGAGGAGAAGATGACGAGAGGCTGGTGGTGGTGGGTGTGTGGCTAGAGACGGGGAAGGTGGTGGCACTGGCAGGGCGGGCAGTGATGGTGATGAAGATGGCGGCGGTGGTGGTGGTGATGCTGGTGGTGGGAGTGGGCATGGGTGATCATGACGATGGTGGGTGACGACGTGGCAGTGGCGGTAACAACGGTGGGAAGGGGATGGGGGTGGTAGTGAGGACGAGATTCATGATGGCAGTGATGTTGGTGAGGGGAGGGGGGATGGTAATGATCATGGCGGTGGTGATGACGGTGACAATGATAGTGGTGGTGGGGTCCGTCGTGGTGGCCGTGGCCGTGGTGGTGGTGATGACGGCGACGATGACCATGGTGGTGGGGTCCGTCGTGGTGGCCGTGGCCGTGGTGGTGGTGGTGATGGTGGTGGTGATGGTAGTGGTGTCAGCGGTGGTGGCAGTGGCCGATGTGGTGGTGGTGGTGGTGATGGCGGTGATGGTGGTGATAGTGGTGGTGGTGTCTGGTTGTGGCCGTGGCCGTGGTGGTGGTGGTGGCGATGAGAGTGACGATGACCATGGTGGTGGGGTCCGTCGTGGTGGCAGTGGCCGTGGTGATGGTGATGGTGGTGTTGTCGGTGGTAGCTCTGTTAATGTCAGCTTTGCCGTCACTCCCGATTCTCCGATGCCGGGATTGGAAAGAGGCGCAGAGGCCAGACCGAGTGTGTGTCGGGATGATGGAGGTGGTGAAGGGCCTGTCCTTGAGTCTCTTTGGGATCAGAACTGCAGGACAAATACCCCCCACTCTGTGGCCTGGAAACCGTCTAGTATTTAAAAATAGAATTTTATGAACCCTCGGGGGCCTTTCCAGAAACGCATCTCCACGGATGGGCCCAGCAAGTCCTCACTCCAGCCCCACAGCCCCACGCCCTGGATGCTCCAGCCCTTCCTCAGGGCTGCCCACAGGGAGGGTGCACCCAGCAGGAGAGGGCCCTTCGGAACAATGGCACCCTGTCCTGGGGAAGCCCCAACCTCCCAGCTCCCTGACCCTGTAATGGATGCCTCAGTGCTGACTCATCTCCCTTCTGACAAGGGTCTGTCAGCCCTTGTAGTCACCTCAGTGTGGCAAATTCCACCAGCCGCTGTCTCGTGACATCAGCACTGCCTGACCAGGATCAGCCTGGGACAGGGGGTGCAGGAGGACCCACGGCTCACTTCTAGCTTGGTCAGGAGCCCATAACAGGGCTTTATCTTGCTGGGCCTCAGTTTCTTTAGCTCTAAAATGGGATGAATAACCCCTTCCTCTGGTGAGAATTGAATGAAAGTTTATCTAGAATGTGAACACAGCACCTGGCCCGAACACAGCACCTGGCCTGTGGCTATGGCCATCAGGATTGTTCCTGCTTTATCACTGGAGGAGCCAGAGCCCTGAGATTGCCTCGTGGCTGTCCAGTAGAAACAGAATACAGGCCACATACGTGATTTTACGTTTTCTGGTAGCTGCATTTGGAAAAGGTCAAAAGAACAGGCAAAATTAATTTTAATGATCTATTTCATTTAGCTAGTATATCTAAAATATTGTCATGTCAACATGTAATCAATATAAAAAATCATTAATGAGATATCTTGCATTCTCTATTTTGCAGGAAGTCTTTGAAATCTGGTATGTAGTTTACGTGGGCAGCATATCTCAATTCAGTGAATTTTCACTGGACACACCTGATCAGTATTTAGATTTCATAAAATTTACAGTTGAGGATGTAGATGTATACATCCAAGTTGTTCCAAACATACTTTAAAGTTTTTCAGTAACTGAACTGGGTATCAGCTTTTAAATTTAATTGTAGATGAATAAGTTAAATAAAATGAACTAGGTTCCTTGGCTACTGTAGTTGCATTTCCAGGACTCAGTAGCCATATGAGTCTGGAGGCCACGGGTAAGAACAAGACCTTCCTAGTAGAGGTGGGGAAACTGAGGCCTAGAGAAAGAGCCGGGCTTGTTCAGAGCCATAGAAAGACTCAAGCACTAGGATGCAGGCATCCTGTACCTGGTCCTTCCAGGGTCGCCGCTGTTCCCCACCCTCCTGAGGGCTGCTGGGTGGTCTGACAGGCTCTTCTCCTGGGACAGAGAGTCACCTTCTCCAGTGCACTTCACCATGTTGTTTCTTTCTTTCTTTCTTTTTCTTTTTTTTTGAATTGGAATCTCACTCTATCGCTCAGGCTAGAGTGCAGTGGCACACTCACAGCCATCCCAGCATCAACCTGCTGGGCTCCAGAGATCCTTCTGCCTCAGCCTTCTAAGTAGCTGGAACTACAGGCGCGTGCTACCAACACCTGGCTAATTTTTGATGTATTGTAGAGACGAGGTCTTGCCAAGTTGTCCAGGCTGGTCTTGAACCCGTGGGCTCAGGCAATCCACTCACCTCGGCCTCCCAAAGTGCTGGGATTACAGGCCGAGCCACCGAGCCTGGCCCATGTTGTGTCTTTTAAGCAGACATTTCTCCCTAGTGCTGATTCAAAGTGGCCGCCTCATTATTTCAATGCACTGGCCGCCCCAGAGAACATGGCTGGCTTTGCCCCAGAACAGCTGCAGGAACCTGGAGCCGGGAATCAAGTCCCTCTGGGTTGGTCCAGGTGTATCCCTGTTCCTCTAGAACCTCTTCTTCCCGCCCCTCTTGCATCACAATTAGCGCCTCCTCCTAAAGCGCAACACCCATTCCAAGTTGGGATCATCACCTCCCTCATTGGACAGCTTGTGTCTCTGATAATGCAGCCAGAGAGATTGCACCAACCAGCTCGTTAGTGCTTGCCAAGAGCATAGATCTTTCCAGCTCCCCTGAGGCTTGTAGTCAGAAAATCCTTTCAGGCCAGAGACGCTGCCTGCCCTATCCCCTACATCCCAACCAAGTGTGGCCCAGGGTCATAATCTCCTCTCTGTCTGTCTCTTAGGCTCACCCACAGACACTTACACATACTCGCTCACTCCTACTGAGAAGAGTTTCCCAGACAACTGTAGAGACAAAGCCGAGTCAGTGTCTCCTCCAACCCCTGGGGCAGGGCAGGCCAGGGTAGCATTTTGGGATGCCTAGTGGGGGCAGGGCAGAGTGGCCTGTTAGAGGGGAATGGCCTGGGTTCCCCAGGGAGAGTAGGGGAGGGTGGCTGACCTTCCCACACAATGTCCCACTGTGAGAGACACCCCCGCCCAGGGCTGAGAGGGGAGGACCCTGTCTGTGGTGCGTGGCCCCCAGGATTGTGAAGTGTGTGACGCACAACCTCACAGATGGGGGAGGGCCGAGGAGGCCTCTCTTGCTGCCTGTGTGTATCCTGGAGGACCACGAGCCAGTGGTGGACAGGGCCCTGGGCATACAGCCAGACAGCTGGGATTGGACAGGGCCCTGCTGCGGGCCAGCTGGGGTCCTGGCACGTCCCTGCACCTTTGGGAGCTGGGCCGCCCCGGTCTGTGGGAGGGGTCGTCAGGAGGCTGGGGAGAGCCAGTGCGGAGAGCTGCTCCCATGGGGACGCCCTGGGTGCCCATGGTCACCATGGCAGCAGCGAAGTCGCCAATTGCAGACGCCACATCCAGCAGTGACCCCAGCACTGACTTCGGGCCAGGCCCCATTGTTCGCCAAGTTCAATCCTTAAGGCTGTGAAGCAGATAGGACACTGTCCCCACTTCACAGCCGAGGATGCTGAGCACAGGGACGGTTAGGTCAGGCTCAAGGTCACAGGGTACCAAGTGGCACAGTCAGTTTTGAACCAGGCTGTCCGCCTCCAGACCTGCCTCGGTTTTCCCTCACTTCCTACCTTGCTCTTGCCCTTGCCCCCCTCTCCCTCCAGGGTCCAGAAGGAAAGCCGGGGAAGCAAGGCGAGAAGGGCCGGACCGGAGCCAAGGTAGGTTGCCCTCCCGCCTAGTGGCCCCTGTCCCTTCTCTGCCTGCCCCACACTCCTGTGGGATTTGTGGGGGCAGGCTGTGACAGCTTGTCTCTTCTCCCGTTGCAGGGTGCCAAGGGCTACCAAGGACAGCTGGGTGAGATGGGCGTCCCTGGAGACCCCGGACCTCCTGGTACCCCAGGCCCGAAAGGATCCCGGGGCAGCCTGGGACCAACGGTGAGGACTCTCTGACTGTGGTGGGGAGGCGGCCATGGGAAAGAGGGGGCCGAGGGCAGAAATGGAGGCGCCAGTTTCCTCTGTGCTGGGACCTCCTACCCCAGCTGTCAGCTGAGCACTTTGGTGAATCACGGATGCCTTTGGGTGCCTACTGAAAGCTGTAGCGCCCTCTCTGGAAAAGCATACACACAATATTTCTTGCAAGTTGGAGGGGGATGTGAATCCCCTGAAGCCCTCTGTGATGCAGATGAATAAGTCCTGCTATTGGGGTTGAGGAAACCAGACTCTTGGCAGTGCTGGGGTTGAACAAGACGTTTTCCCACTAGAAATAGATTCATTGGGATCAGGATGACGCCACTGCAGGTGCCTGGGGACTCTGAGGGTGTCCCAGGGCATTGCTGGGTTGTCCTGAAGGTGGGAGCCTTAGAAGGGCTTGATACTGGCTGGAGATGAAGACCACAAGGGGGAGCGAGGGACGAGGACAGAGGGCCGGTTCTGTGGCTATGCCTGTGAGGTCAAGCGGGGAGGATGGTTTGAGCCTAAGAGTTCAAGACCAGCCTGGGCAACCTAGCGAGACTCTGTATAAAAAAAAAAATAAACTTTTAAAAAATGGAAAGGGGCAGAAGAGGGTGATGTGGCATCTCAGAGCTGGCCTGTGACATTTACCAATTTCCGTGGTGTAAATGCTCCTTCCGTGGCTGATTTCAAGTCACCGACAGGACGTCATTGAGCTTGAACTTGGAGGATTCACACGCTAGCACCCGTTACACAGTGTTTCCGCCACACAGGTTCCACAGACACAAAACACCTCGGGAGCATGGGCAGTGGGGAAATCTAGTGAAGTGGTTAGGGGGAGATGGGCTTGGGGTATTATCTTTGTTTTTAATAAACTTGATTTAACTGGAGAAAACCCGATTTAACTTGTAAAAGCCCTGAACATTTAGCAGTGGGCAGTCAGGAACCACTGGAACCAGGAAGAGGAAGGCTGGGCAGCGGTGAGGAGCGCTGGGTGGCGGGGGCAACACAGCGTGCTTTCCACCTTGTTCTCACGCCTTCGTTCTGGCTGGTGTGGATGGGCCGAGCTGGGGCCTGGAGAGAGCCCACCTGTGTCCCCGTGGTGAGAGCCACACTCGTACCAACCAGAGTGTCCTCCTCTTGTAGGGCGCTCCAGGACGCATGGGTGCCCAAGGAGAACCGGGACTGGCTGGCTACGATGTAAGCTGATGCTGCCTGGAGAAAACTCACCTCCCTACCCAACTCCGTCCTGCAGGCCTCTGTCCCCACCCCCTCTCACTCAAGGGCCAGCCCCTGGTTGCTGAAGATGGGGTCTCACCTGCCCCAGGGGGAGCCAGGCCCATAGTCCAGTCGGGGTAGAGGATCAGGGATGGGCCAGCTCACCCATCCCTGAACCCTCCTGTCTCCTGCCCCTGCAGCAGGGGGTGGGGGTGGGAGGCCTTGGGGACACCCTTCCACCTCACCTGCTCTCTGTGGAAGGGAATAGCCATAGTGCATGTTTTCATCCAAGTTGACTGAGCCAATCCCGTGTGACTCCTCTGGAAACACTGGAGCTCAAAGGGGGCGGGGCTTACTCAGAAAGGGAAACCGAGGCTCAGGAGGACTAAGAGTGTGCACAAGGTCTGGCAGCCTCAGCTTAGGAGCAGTCAGGGGGTGGGGTCCTCCCCCAAGTCCTTGTGACTTTAGGTCGAGTGTGTGAGAGAGATAGAGAGAGGAAGGAAGAATGGAGGGGGGCAGAGGAGATGGGGCTTGGAGGGCATGCTAGGAGCCTGGGAGAGGGGGAGGGGGGTGTCTGCATCTGCAGGCCTGAGTGCAGGTGAGGGAGCCCTGGGGAGCCAGCATGTGGCTCCTGCTCCTATCCTTGCCTGGGGAACACAGCTGGCTCTCCAGGTATCTCCTCCTAGCTCTGCTCCAAGGTGGGTGGGCCCCCTATCCAGCTGGAACACCCCTCTGGATCCACATGGCATGTCTGGAAGGCCGAGGCCCAGAGAGGCATGGGGCTTGCTCAGAGCCACGCAGTGAGTCGGGATCCAGCTGGGCCCCCGTTTCGCAGCCCGTGTCCCCTTTTCTGAGTCCCTGTCCTTCACTTCTCCTAAGTCCTCATCCTCTTCATCTTGTTTTCCTGCAGGGACACAAAGGCATTGTGGGACCCCTTGGACTTCCTGGACCAAAAGGCGAAAAGGTGGGTGGGTGTGTGGGTGTTCAGTCTGGGGGAACCAGCTGCCCCCTTGTATTGGGGGCCAAGGTCAGCTCCAAGGCCAGCAGGAATCGAACCCTGGGGGGGCCTGTCCGGGGAAAGCATGGGAGGCCTGTGGTGGCTCAAAGCCCCAGGACAGTGTCGCTGCTGCCACCGCACCCGGCAGGCAGGAGCCATCAGATCCACGTTCACCATATTCCGAGCCTCGAGTGCCGCATCTGTGCTGGTGCCATCTCTGCGTCCAGCACTGGAGCAAAAACAGGCATCCCCTGCCCTCATGTGGCTTCCAGTCCAGAGGGGAGAGTCCTGTGCAGGCTCTAAGGAGGGCAATTCCACCGTCGGTGTGAACTTGGGAATGAGCTCACCCAGCGAGTGAGGGTTAGAATGGAGGGGGGGAACCTCACCAGTCCCACCCAAGTCTCCCCTGCCCTCCTGCCCCCTGAATACCCAGCTGGAATGTCTCCTCGGTCTTCCACCACCTCCCCAGCCCTCCTGTCTTTTGCCGAGTCAGCTCCCCACTAACTAAATCCCGCTGTCGGGTGACTCATGCTGGCCAGGCTTGCTGTCCAGCTGGCCCCTTCCCCCTGCTGGAGGAGTGCAGGTCTGCGGTCACAGTGGCTCCTAGGCTCTGACAATTCCACAGGAAGCGCAGAAGGTGCCACCCGGTACCCCAGTCCTTCCTGTGTTGGCCAGGCTGGCACAGAAGGGGTTTACATGGGCCCTGAACAAAGGAGGAGCCCGTGCACCCCAAGGCCTCCACTCCGACTGTCTGCAGCCCTAAAAGCAGTGTCTGTGGCTACTGGGGATGAAGCCCCAAAGCCAAATCTGCCCTAGGTCTGCCAAGGCTCTGGGTGGGTCCCCAGGATTCCGAGCCTTGAGTGCCTCATCTGTTAAATGGCGGGAACCTCGGTGAGGCCGAGGGGAATATCACATGTCGGCCAGGTGCCTTTTCTGACCTATAAGATGTTATTTGTTCATTATTCCAGCTACCCAGCAGGTATTTTGGGGGAACTCAGAGTGCTCCAGGCCCTGAGCTAGGCACTGGGAAGGATGCCCTCAGGGGCTAAAAATGGAAGCAGCCCCACCACTGTAGGGTAAGCCACAAGCTGGATAGTGCCAGGAAGGGACAGCCTTGGGGAGATCCACTGAGGCACTGACCATATGCAAAGCTCTTGCCCCAGAATTTCTCCCGTCATCCTCACCATAGCCCCTGTATGGAAGTGTCATTCTATGATCGGTGGGGAAACTGAGTCTCCATAATGTGCCAAGACTAGCTCTCAGGGTCAGTGACAGAAGGATGTCAGGGCTGGAATTCAGACCCTGTCTGTCTGATACCTGACCTGGCTCCCCTAACTGGAAACAGACACACCATGTGAGGAGCCCTTTGCTCCTTGGAACCCCCAGTGGTGCACTCATCTACAGAGCTGGAGACAGAGGGTGGGCTGAGGCTCCTACCAGCTTTCTGGGCCTGAAAACGTGTCCTGAACTCCATCCACAGTGGGAAAGTCTGCATTGCTGGCACTCAACCCACACAGTCCCTTGATTCCTGAATGGCCTTGTCTAAGACCTTCCTTCCATGGGCCTCAGTTTCCCAATTTTTTTTTTTTGTTTTCATTTTTTTGTAATTGGAGTCTCGCTCTGTCATCCAGGCTGGAGTGCAGTGGCACACTCAACAGCCACCGCAGTCTCGACCTGCTGGACTGATGTGATCCTTCCACCTCAGCTTTCTAAAGAGCTGGAACTACAGGCGACCACTCTTGGATGATTTTTTTGATTTATTGCAGAGATGAGGTCTCGCCAAGTTGCCCCGGCTGGTTTTGAACCCGCGGGCTCAGGCAATCCTCTCACCTCAGCCTCCCAAAGTGCTGGGATTATAAGCATGAGCTACCACCATCTTTAAGTGTGGATGATAGCCCAGGCAGCATAGGGTTGAAACTTCATGAACTGCCCGGCACGTCGAACATGCTGGGTGAATGCAGACTCTTCCCCAAAGCCGCCAGTCTGGGCGCCTTCCTCCACGTGGGACTGAGCACAGGTCAAAGAGCCATGGAGCGTGGGAGGGGAGGAGAGGGAATCCCCGCTCCCCGGGCCACCCCCATGGGTACAACTGGTTCTAGGCCTCAGGCCAAGTTCCCATCTGCCTTCAGCCTCCGCCCACGGGAGCCACGGAGACCGGGCCAGGGCATGAAGCCTGCCAGCCCTCAGAGCCGGCTCTGGGCGGGATGTGCTCTGACCTCAGGGGCGGTTTCCTTCTCTCCTGCCACTCAGGGCTCCCTTCAATCCTTGTGGACAGTGAGGGGGATCTGGGATGCCCTGGCTTGAGCCCTTGGCCTCGAATGGGGCCTCAGAGGAGGTGACACATTTTCTAAGGCTGGAGCCTTCCAAACCCCAAGGTTCCCTAATTTGCTGTTCCACTTACACCTTCCTTGTAGCTGGCAAGTAGCATTCACACCCATCCGTGGGGGACGGCGGCGGGCCTCAGGTAGCCATGGCATGAGCATCTCAGCTCTGAGCGCCGCTCCTGTTCTGCCTGTCTCCGGCCACAGCCATGGGACATACTGCCATATTGTGTCAGCTACCGCGGTGTCCTGGCCTGCTCGGCTCTCTGTGTGGACGGCCCTAGCAGGCCTTTCCTCGCCAGTCCTGCTGATCCCGTCCTGCACATGGGGAATGCTTTTGGGCCAGGTCTCCCAGCTGGCTGCGGAGTGTTGGAGGTTCACCCTACAGCTGGTTCTTTGGCCACTTCCTCCCAGCGAGGGTCAGAGAAAGGAGTTCTTTGATGGAGGGTGAATAACTCCAAGCAGGTCACATCCCCTCCCTGCCTCCGTGTCCCCATCTATAAATGGGGATGATGGTGACATCTGCTTCTTGGTGCTGCTGGGGGGACTCGCCAGCCCACCCGTGTTCAGCTCGTAGCAGCGACCATGCACACCGGCTGTTGGAATTAGTGTAAATCCCTGCCAGCTCCTTTCGTGGAGTCCTCACCACTCCTCTGTGGGCGTCACCCATGACTTCCCTCAACTCCCTTCCCCGGCTGAGGAAGGAGCTCAGAGACAGGAAGGGTCGGGGTGCAGGTCCATGCAGCTGCCACATTGGAAAAGCTAGATGTAAACCGACCCTCTGAGCTGCCCTCTCTGTGGGATCCCACAGCTCCAGGTGGTTCCCTGCAGGGTGGAGGACACAGAGCACTGTCTTGAGTCCCACTATCCTGGTTCCACACCACCCCTGGGTCTGGCTCAGACGCACCTCCCCTTCCCTCCCTGGCCTCAGTCTTCCTGTCTGTAACCTTAAGTACGTCTCTGATGGAGCCCTTTCGGCCTGGAGTCCCCCGTATTCCCGGGAGCAGGTGGTTTGTCCTAAAACTGGTTCTGTGTCTGCAGGGGGAGCAGGGCGAGGATGGCAAGGCTGAGGGGCCCCCCGGGTCACCTGGAGATCGGGTAAGACTCTCCCCTTATCCCCCAGGCTATGCTGAGTCCAGGGTGGAGCCAGGGCTGCTGCTGTGTGGGCAGGTGCAGAGCGAGCATGGGTCTGGTCCCCAAGAGCTTCCCAGAGGATGCTGCCGACGTGGTCCAGGGCCAGCATCCTCTGCACCTGGTAGCCCACATTTTGCTGTTGTCCTTGTCATTCAGGGCCCTGTGGGTGATCGAGGAGACCGTGGGGAACCAGGGGACCCTGGATACTCTGTAAGTACCGGAGCTTGTACCTGCTGTTGGCATCAGGAGTGTCAGTGAGAGGGACAGTGACGCATAGCTAGAAAGAACAAGCCCGGGAGGGCTCCTGCCCTGGCCTCTGGCCCCCTTCAAGATGGGCTCCCTCACCTGTCTCTCTTTGGCTTCCAGGGACAGGAGGGTGTGCCAGGCCTCCGTGGAAAGCCAGGCCAGCAGGGCCAGCCCGTGAGTGGTGCTTCCTGTCCCTTCCCCGTTCCCACCCTGCTGGGGCTGGGAGGGTGGGGCAGTGGGAAGTAAATAACTGGGCCCTTTAAAGCTTAAAGGGATTCTGCCTGCAGGAGGGCCTGGGACAGCCATTCTGGTTCCTCCTGCCCTGACCCTGGGGACACCCCCAGAGCCTGCACCCCCAAACCCCTCCCCACCCCTCCCCCTCCAGGCGGAGACTGGCCACCCTCCCCGGGAGAGAATCCTGGGGCCACCTTGCGTCATCTCACCTTGGTTTGCAGGGGCATCCGGGACCCCGGGGCCGGCCGGGACCCAAAGGATCGAAAGGCACAGAGGTAAGAGAGCTGGATGTTCCCCAGGGAAACTGAGTCCCGGGGAAAGGGGGAAGCCCAGCCCCAGGTCACACAGCGGAGGGAGGCAGGGCAGGGAGGGCTGGCCCAAATGAGCCCTGCAGAGTGCTTCTGGCCAGGATGGGTTCCCTTCAAAGCCTGAGGGAGGAGGGACAATCGCCCCATTTCACTGGGGCTTCGGGAAGGGAGCCGCCCGCCTGAGGTCAGCCCGTGGGACTTGAACCCAGGGCACGCAAGTGCTAAAGATGAGAGTGGGAACTGGGAGAAGTGGAGGGAGGGCATCGGGTGGAGAGGGAGGGAGACAGGTGCTCCTGGGGGAGGAGTTTCTGCCCTCCTCCGCTGAGGCTGGGCCAGTACCCCTCACCTGCACCCCTCTGGGGTATCCCCACTTTCAAGGGTCAGATGGAGCCATGGGCTGGGGCTCTGACCAGGAGATTGCCAAAGAGCCTCTGCCACTTGGGGGAGGGCTTGGCAAGGGGACCCCAGGGCCCAGAGCAGGCTCAGTGACAGCCTGGAGGTTCCAAGGCCGCCCCAGGCTTCAGGAATGAGATGCTCACCCAGGGGCCCACGGTCCTCCCAATACCTCCTCCCAGAGCCCCTGGGCCCCACCTCCACCAGGCAGCCTCCATCCTGTGGCCCTTTCTTGATCTTTCAGGGACCAAAGGGAAAGCAAGGCAAAGCCGGGGCTCCAGGCCGGAGGGGGGTCCAGGTGAGTGACTGCAGCTGCCGCACCCTGCCAGCCTCCTCGCCCACCCTGGACGCCCTCACCAGCTTCTTCTGTCCCCCAGGGCCTGCAGGGGCTGCCGGGGCCCCGGGGCGTGGTGGGGAGACAAGGCCCTGAGGGTGCTGCCGGACCGGATGGGCTTCCTGGCAGGGACGGGCGAGCAGGACTGCAGGTGAGCAGGCCTGGGCGTTCAGAGGTGGGCCTCCATTTGGGATGTGGGGGAGGGGGACTTCCGCAGGCCCTGGAACAGAGCAGTGGGTCCAGAAACTGGGAAGGGCAGAACCAAGGTATCTGGAAGGTTCCTGGGATGCTCTGGGGTGGGCAGCCGTCTCACCCCTGGGGCCCTGGGAGTGTGGCTCCCCGAGACCCCACCACTTCCCCACTCTCACGGTCCTCAGCTCCTCCTGTCCCCCGTCCAGCCGCGTCACACGCAGGCCGTCTGACCCCCATCCTGGAGTGTCACCTCCTCCCAGCCCCCACACCCAGTGTTCACCCCGGCTGGGAACCATCCTGCCCTTTTTTTCTAGCTATTTCCTGAAACACAAGAGATACTCCTTTGCCTGCTTTCTTTACAGGGGGAGCAGGGAGACGATGGGGACCCTGGCCTCATGGGCCCTGCTGGGAAGAGAGGAAATCCCGGTGTGGCCGGCTTGCCTGGAGCACAGGGACCCCCAGGGTTCAAGGTCAGACACTTCTAATCCACTTACGTGCCCTCCACCCTTCCCACTTTGGTACGGACTATAATGGCACTGACTCTTCCAGCGCCTATGTCCCAGGGTCTGTGTGAAGATGGAGTCCACATTGTTGACCTTTGTCCCTGTCCCAAACTTGGGCCAGACTTACAGGATGGTTTATCCAGGAAGCAATAAATACTGTCCCCTACCAGGCCCTGGACACCATCAACTGGTTGTTGCATTGTCCACGGGCGCCCTCTTGTGGGCTTCTGTAGAACAACAGGTGTTGCTTGCGGCTGGATCCTCAAGACATTCTTAGAAAGCTTCCTTCGCTGACTTGACAAGAGAGGCTCCCCCATGAATCAGCCTGAGCCCAGGACTAGACTCTGAAGGACTTAGATGAGTGACTCAGACATGGTTGGTTCTTGCCCTTCCTGAGCTCGAAACTTAAGTAGGGGAAAGTAGGACTCCTCGGGGAGGACCACAGGCAGAGGGAAAGATGACCTTGACCCAGGGAGGATTCCAGTGAGAAGAAAAGGGAAGGAGGCATTCTCGATTTGGAGGTGGGAACCGCATACAGGTGGGGAGAAGGGTACAAGGGGAGAGGCTGTGTGAGAGGGGAGAGGGGAAGCTAGGACCCTGAACGTCTGAGTGGGGGAAAAACCTTGCCCACCACCCTCCACCCGGGCTCGTCTGTCACCCCAACATCCTGAGATCTCAAAAGACCTCTGGAATCACTGTTCTGCCACTTCTTCCTCCTCGCAGAACCATTTCCCCTTTGATGGGTCCTGTTGGTCTGTTTCTTTAAGGGTGAAAGTGGATTACCGGGGCAGCTGGGTCACCCTGGCAAGCGGGGGACTGAGGGCGGAACAGGGCTTCCTGGGAGCCATGGGGAGCCCGGATCCAAAGGCCAGCCGGTGAGTGATTCCAGGGAATACACGTGGCCACACTCTCACACATGTGTGCGCACACACGTACACACGCACATGCACACAGGCAGGCACACAGACCAAGAAGCTGCGTCCTTGCTCTGTGACAAGGGTCTGGGTACCAGATGCCATTCTGCCTTTCTGAGCCGGATGGTGAGGGGAGGCTGAGGAAAGAGAACCAAGTGGTCCCTTCCGAGTGAGGAAAGGCAGATCACAACCAGAACCCCGGGCTCTGCTGGCTCCTGGTCCAGTGCTGTTGCTGCACCACACTGCCGTCGTAGCCTCTGTCCCAGAGCGTAAATTCAATTAGCCCCTGCCTGGAACAGAGGGAAGAATGAGCAAAGGACAGAGGGGGCAAATAGAAAACAAGTAACACATGGTCTCAACACCCTAATTAAAAACAGATTGGCCAAACATGGTGGCTCACACGGGCAATCCCAGCACTTTGGGAGGCCAAGGAAGGAGGACTGCTTGAGCCCAGGAGTCTGAGACCAGCCTGGGCAACATAGCGGGAACTTGTCTCTACAAAACAAACAAAAACAAAAACTAGCCAGGTGTGGTGGCCTGTAGTCCCAGCTACTCGAGAGACTGAGGCAGATGGATTACCTGAGCCCGGGAGGTCAAGACTACAGTGAGCTGTGATCGTGCCACTACACTCCAGCCTGGGTGAGAGTGAGACCTGGACTCAAAAACAAATAAATATAAAGACACAAATAGGCTAAAAGTAAAGGTATGACAAACATTATACTACACATTATACTGACTTTCATCCAAAGAAATATCAAACAAAATGGATTACAAAGCAAAGACTATTGGCAGTAATAAAGTCACTTCATAATGATAAAGAGGTTACTTTACCAAAATTACGGTGAAGGAATCCTAAACGTTTATGCACCTAATAATAGATCTTTGCAATGATTAAGCAAAAACTGATAAAACTGCAAGGATAAATAGATACTTCCACAGTTATAGCTGAAGGTTTCAATATATTTCTTTCACTACTGGGTAGAACAGAAGTAGACAGAAGATCAGGAAGCATGTAGGAGACTTGAACAGTGTCAACTGACTGAACCTCATGACGTGTAGAGAGCACTCCATCAAATATCAGCAAGACAGTCCTTTTCAAGTGCATGCAGAGCATTTACCAAGACAGACCCTATTTGGGACCTTAAAAGCAAAATAAAATCTTAATACATTTAAGAGGATTCAAGTCACACAAAGAATATTCTCTTGCCACGGTGAAATTAAATTAAAAATCAATTACAGAGAGCTATCTGAAACATCTCCAAACATTTGGAAACTAAGTAACGAATGTCCAAGTGGCCTGCGGCTCACAGAGGAAATCAAAGAGGAAGTTGGTATCTTGGATTGAATGAAAGTGTAAATACCGACCCGGTGCTGGTGGCTCATAATCCTAGCAGTTTGAGAGGCCTAGTTGAGAGGATTGCCTGAGCCCATGGGTTCGAGACCAGCCCTGGCAACTAGGTGAGACCTCATCTCTACAATAAATAAAACAATTAGCTGGGCATGGTGGTACGTGCCTGTAGTTCTAGCTACTTGGAAGGCTGAGGTGGAAGGATTGCCTGAGCCCATCAGGTCGAGGCTGTGGTGGCTGGGAATGTGCCCCTGCCCTCCGGCCTGTGTGACAGAGTGAGACTCCAACTCAAAAAAAAAAAAAGAAATTGGTGGATGCTGCTGATGTACCACTTGGGGATGATTATAGCGGTAACTCCTGTATTTGAAAGGAAGAGAGGTCTAAAATCAGTAGCCTCAGATACCATCTTAAGAAACCAGAGGAAAAAAGACAAATTAAAAACAAAGTCAATAAAAGAAAGGAAATAATGAAGATATGAAATTTAAAAAAAAAATAAGAAAAATTAAAAAAAATTTTGAGAGCTATAAAATGGACAAATCTCTTGCTAAACTCACCAGAAAAAAGAGAATACATAAATTACTGATATCAAGAATGAGAAAGATGATGTTACCACAGATAGTACAGAAATTAAAATAATAATAAGGAAATATTGTAAACAGCATTATTCCAATAAATTTGAAGACTTAGATGAAATGGACAAATTCCTTGAAAGATGAAACTACTAAAACACTCAAGAAGAGGTTGATAACCTAAAAACCTTGTATCTATTAAAGAATTTGAATGTGTAGCTAAAAAATGTCCCACAAAGAAAACTCTTGGACCAGGTGGCTTCACTGGTAAATTCTCCTAAACATTTGTGAAATAAATTATTCCAGTTCTACATAAACTCTTCCAGAAAATTGAAAAGGAGAGAATATTTCCCAACTCTTTCCATGAGACCATGTTACCCGATATCAAAGCCAGACAAAGACGTTGTTACAAGAAAAGAAAACTACAGGCCAGTATGCCTCATAAATATAGATACAACAATTCTCAGTACAGTTTTAACATTCTTTATTTATCTCAGGAATGCAAGGATGGTATAACATTTGAAAATAAACCAATACAATTCATCATATTAAACAAACTAGAAAGAAAACTCATTCGATCATCTCAGTAGATGCAAGAAAAGCATCTGGCAAAAATCTAACTCCATTTCTGGCTAAAAAAAAATCTCTCAACAAACTAGGGCTATCAAGTTGAGAGCTTCCTCAACTTGATAAAGGACATCCAGGAAAAACCTACAGTCACCATCATCCTTAATATTGACTTAACTGCTTTTTCCCAAAGAGCAGAAACAAGTCAAGGATATCTGTTCTTACTACTCTTATTCAGCATTGTGCTGGTAATTCTACCAGGGCAGTAAGGCAAGAAAAATAAATAAAAGGCATTTATATCAGATGAAATGATTGTCTATATGGAAAATCCAATGGCATCTACAATATTATCTACTAGAATAAGTGAGTTGCAAAACACCAGGTCATTATGCACAAATGAATCGTATTTCTATACACTAATCAATATGCACAGGTGATTTGTATTGCCATATGCTAGCAACAAGCAATCAGAACGTGAACCTAAAAAGCAATACTATTTACAGTAGTATAAATATATAACATACTTAGAGATACAGCTGACATTAGGTGTGCAACATATGGACCCTGAAAACTATAGAACATTGCTAAGAGGAATTGAGGAAGAACTAAATAAATGGATATATAGACTGTTTTCATGCATCAAAAGACCCAATAATATTAAGATGTCAGTTTGGCTCACATTGGCCTAAGTGATATTAAGATGTCAGTTTTGCTCACATTGGTCTATGGATCCAACACAATTCTAATCAGTATCTCATCAGGCTTTTTGTGGAGAAAATGACAAGCTTTTATGTGTGTGTGTGTGTGTGTGTGTATAAAGGACCTAGAATATTATCTAAAGCAACTCTGAAAAAGAAGAGCAAAGTCAGAGGACTAGTAGTACTTGATTTCAAGACTTATAAATCTACAGTAATCAATAAAGTGTGATGTTGCCATAAATATATTAATAGATTAAAAAAAACAGAATTGAGGCACCAGAAATATAACCATATACACATGGACAAATACTTTTTAATAAAGGCACAAAGACAACTCAGTGAATACAAAATAATATTTTCTAACAACTGGTGTTTGGCAATTAATGCCACATAACATTTACAAAATAAGTCAACCTGTATCTTACACCTAAATGTAAAACCTAAAATTATAACTCTTCTAGAACAAAGCTTAGAAGAAAGTCTTTGAGACCTTATATTAAATAGAGTTCTTAGATATGACACCAAAAGCATGACCCATAAAAGAAAATTTGATAAACTGGATTTCTTCAATATTTAAAACCTTTGCTTTCCAAAGGACATGACTAAGAGAATGAAAAAACAGGTCACATACTGGGAGAAAATATTTCCAAATCTTATATCTGATAAAGGATTATATCCCAACTATACAAAGAACTCTCACAACTCATTAATATGAAAATAAGCAACCTGACATTTTTAAATGGACAAAAGATTTAACTAGACACTTCAAAGAAGATATACAGACATATGAAAAGAAGATAAGTATCATTAATTATTAGGCAAGTGTTCACTAAGACGACAATAAGATGCTACTATATACCTGTTAGAATGGTGAAAATATTTAAAAGACTGACCATACCAAGTGTTGGCAAAGATGTGGAACAAAAGGAACTTTCATACTCTTAAATGTAAAGAGGCACAAACACTTGGAAACAGTTGCACAGTTTCTTTAAAAGTTAAGCATATCCCTACCATATAATGCAACCATTCCATTCCTAGATATTTATTCAGCATAAATAAGGATGTTTGTCCACACAAAGACTAGATTTGATGGCTCCTAATAGCCCCAAACTGGAGAAAACTCAAATGTACATCAGAGGTGAATAGATAAAGAAATTGTGGTATACCTATACATTGGAATCCTATTTAGCAATAAAAGGACTGAACTGTTAATATGATAACATGGATGGTTCTCAGAATAATTGGACTGAATGAAATAAGTCAGATAAAATAGTATATACTATGTGATTTCACTTATATAAAATTAGGGAAAATGAAAACTATTCTGTAGTAAGAGAAACCAAATCAGTGGTCCTGGAGATGGGAGGGTAGGCAGAAAGGAAAGATCACAAAAGGGCATGAGGAAACTTTTTGGGGTGATGAATATGTCTTGATTGTCTTGATGAATTGTCTTGATTGTGATGATGGTTACCTGAGTATATATGTGTCCAAATGTATCACATTGTACAATCTAACTATCTGTAGTTATTGTTTATCTTCAGTTTTACTCCTGTAAAATTGTTTTTAAAAATTACCTCTTCTTTTCACCTGATGGATATATGGGAGACAACAATCAGAGTGTAAAATCAAACAGGTGGAACATGTCACAACAGGTTCTATGAAGCCAGTATCACCCTGATACCAGACAAAGATATCACAAGAAAGATGCCTATGGACTAATATTATACTTATGAATGCTGAATAAAGAATACTTATGAATACACACATGAAAATTCTCAATAAAATACCACAAAACTGAATCCAGCTGCATGCATAACAGGATTATACACCACAGTGAGATGTGTCCTAGACATGCAAGGTTGGTTCAATACATGACAGTCAATCAATGTGAATAGAATACAGAAAAAATATCATACAGTCATCTCAACAGATGCAGAAAGAGCATTTAGGAAAATTCAGTCCTTTTTATGATTAAAAAAACACAACAAACTAGGAATAGAAAGGAACACCCTCAACCTGATAAAGAACGCCTAAGGAACTTCACAGGTATCATCATATTCAATAGCGGAAGACCGAAACCTTTCCCCCAAGATTGGAAACAAGCCAACCATGTCCATTTTTACCACTTATTTTCAACATTATCCTGAAACAGATTGAAAAGGAAGAAGTAACGCCATCTCTGTTTGCAAATGACACGATCTTGTATATAGAAAACAGTAAAAAATTTATAAAACAAAATTATTAGAACTAATAAACCAAGGTTGCAGGAGATAAGATCAATATAAAAAACATTGTTTGTACATGTAACATATAAACATCAATTTTGTTTATATACACTAGCAATGAATAATTCAAAAATGAAATCAAAAAAGACAATTTCATTCATAATATAAAAGAGAATAAAATGGTTAGGAATAAATTTAACAAAAAAGTACAAGAAGCCAGGCGTGGTGACCTGTGTCTGTAGACCCAGCTAGACCCAGCTACTTGTGAGGCTGAAATAGGAGGACTGCAGAAGCTCAGGAGATCAAGTCCAGTCTGGGCAACATATTGAGACCATTGCAAAATAAAAATTAAAAAGTGCAAGACATGTTCACTGAAAACTTCAAAACATTGTTGAGAGAAATTAAGGAAAACCTAAATAAATGGACAGACATCCCTTGTTCATGGGCCAGAGGACTTGGTATTGTTAAGATACCAGTACTAAGCTGGGCTTGGTGGCTCAGCCTGTAATCCTGCACCTTGGGAGGCTGAGGTGCGTGGATTGCATGAGCCCACAGGCTCGAGACCTGCCTGGGCAACTTGGCAAGACCTCATCTCTACAATAAATCAAAAATTAGCCGGGCGTGGTAGCGTGCGCCTGTAGTTCCAGTTACTTGGAAGGCTGAGGTGGAAGGATCGCCGGAGCCCAGCAGGTCGAGGCTGTGGTGGTCGGGAGCAGCCACTGTACTCCAGTCTGGGTGACAGAGTGAGACTCCCACTCAAAAAAAAAAAAAAAAAAGATACCAGTACTGATCTACTGATCTGCAGATTCAATGCATTCCCCAGCAAAATCCCAGTTGTTTTTTTTTTCTTCTTTTACCAGAATCACAAATTGATCCTAAAATTTGTACGGAAATATAAGTGTCCCAGAGTAGCCAAAATTTGATCTTTAAGAATATCAAAGTTAGAGGACTTACTCTTTCCAATTTCAAAGTTTATTATAAAACTAGTAATTAAGTGTGGCACTGGCATAAGGATAGACATATAGGTCAATGGAATAGCATTCAGAATCCAGAAATAAGCTCTTATATTTATGTCAGTGTGCCTGGACAACTGAATGGGAAAATAATTTGTTTTTCAATAAATGGTACTAAGCAGTTACATATCTACATGCCAGAGAATGGAATTGGACCCCTGTATTATACCACAGACAAAAATTAACTAACAGTGAATCACAGACCTAAATGTAAGGGCTAAAACCATAAAACTCTTGGGAAAAAAACGAAAGGAATGCATTTGTATAACCTCGTATTAGGCAATAGTTTCTTAGATATGACATCAAAAGGACAAACAACAAAAGAATAGATAAGTTGGTCTTATCAAAATAAAAAACTTTTATGCATCAAAGGACACCATGAAGAAAGTAAAACAACTCACAGAATGTGAGAAAGTTTTTGCAAATCATATATCCAATAAGGAACGTGTATCTGGAATATATAAAGAATGCTTACAACTCAAAAATAAAAAGACAACTCAACTTTTAAATGGCCAAAGTTTGTGAATAGGCATTTTCCTAAAGAAGATATGCAAATAGTCAATAAGCACATACAAGGCAAATCATAACCCAAATGAGATACTATTTCACATCCTCTAGATTGGTTAATGTAGAAAAGGCAGACAATAACAGGTGCTGACAACGACGTGGAGCAAATGGAATCCTCCTGCACTACTGGTGGGAGCTTAAAATAGTGCAACCACTTTGGAAAACCACTTGACCATTCCTCAGTTAAACATAGTTTCCCTAGGACACAGCAATTCCACCCAGGAGAACAGAAAACAGGTCAACACAAAAACTTATCCACAGATGTTCATAGCAACAGTATTCATAATACACAGTGCATGGAAACAATTCAAATGTTCACCAGCTGATAAATGTGTAAGTAACATGTGGCATACCTGTACAATGGAATATTGTTCAGGAATAAAAAAGGATGAAATGCTGATACAGCTACCACATGGAATAAACCTTGAAAACGTGCTAAGTGAGGGAAGCCAATCTCAAAAGGCCACACATTGCATGATCCCATTTACAGAATGTCCAGAGTGCTTGCCAGGGGCTGGGAGAAAGGGGAAGGGAGGTGCAAGGTTTCTTTTTGGATTGATGAAAATGTTGTGAAATGAATGGTGATGGTCGATGCACAACTTTGTAAATATATTAAAAGCCAATAAATTATACACTTTTCTTTTGAGTCAGGGTCTCACTCTGTTGTCCAGCCTGGAGTGCAGTGGCACGATCATGGCTCACCGCAGCCTCGACCTCTTGGGCTCAGGTGATTCTTCTGCCTCAGCCTCCCAAGTAGCTAGGAATAGAGGTGTGTGCCGTCACGCCTGGCTAATTTTTTTATGTTTTATAGAGACAAGGTCTCACTTTGTTGCCCACGTTGGTCTCCAGCTCCTGGGCTTTGAGCAATTCTCCCACTTCAGCCTCTCAAAGTGCTGGGGTTACAGGCATGAGCCACCATGCCTGGCATAAATTAGGCACTTTAAAAAGATGAATTTTAGCCGGGCTCGGTGGCTCAGCCTGTAATCCCGCACCTTGGGATGCTGAGGTGAGTGAATTGCCTGAGCCTGCGGGTTCAAGACCCTCCTGGGCAACTTGGCGAGACCTCATCTCTACAATAAATAAAAAAATCAGTCGGGCATGGTAGTGCGCGCCTGTAATTCCAGCTGCTCGGAAGGCTGAGGCGGAAGGATCGCCGGAGCCCAGCAGGTCGAGGCTGCGGTGGCCGGGAGCGGCCACTGCATTCCAGTTTAGGCGACAGAGTGACTCCAACTCAAAAAAAAAAAAGATGAATTTTATAATATGTGAATTATAGCCTAATATGTGAAACATAGCTTATTAGTTTTTTAAAATGAACAGGTAGAATTTAGATGAATGGGGCCCTCCCACAGCCTGACCCCTCAGCCTACCCTCACCAGAGCTAGGTCTTGACCTGCTTGGTCTTATTACATCCTTCCAACCTATTTTTCAGATGGGAAAACTGAGGCTGAGGTTCAGTAAAAGGAAATCATTTGCCTCCTGGCCTCACATTAAGACTAGGAGATTCTAACCCGTGGGTTCCTGGCTCATGAGCTGGAAGGCCCAGCCCAAGGATGTGGCAGTGGCAGGCCCAGGCCCTGGCATGCCCCCTTGTGAATTGTTCTTTCACCCCTTGGGAGATTGGGAGCAGGGATCAGGAGAGGAAGCCAAAGGCCCTGAATCACTCACCCTTGGTCTGAATTGAGCACACTCCACAATGCAGTGGCTGTGCACCCTCAGAGAGGATGTGCCTGCCTTCTCTGAACCTGTTTCCTCATCTGTGAACAGGGGATGTGGTGTCTCCTGGGGCTGATATGGGAACATGCCTGCATGGTGGTGCGTGCAGAGCACCTGGGACGTAGTAGGTCCTTAGCTGACAGGGTTGCTTCAGGAGGTCCTTCCCTAGCAGAGCTTCTGGGGCAGTGGGAGGAGTCTGTGCATCCTTTAGTCATTGTGTCCCTTGAAGCCTGGAACTGGAGCACCTGGGACTTTGCCTGCTGGCCCGTGGAATTCCTGACTGGGCTGGGCTTCTTGCCTGACAGGGCACAGATGCCCCGTGGAGCCCTGGCAGACTGGCCTCTAGCTTCTCAGCCGTTCATACTCAGATCCCTGCTGGCTGCTGGGAGGGAGAAGGCAGACCCCGGGGCACCCTGGTCCTGACCGGCTCACTCCATCTCCATCTCTTCCTGTTCTCCTGCAGGGTGACACTGGCGAGATGGGCTTCCCAGGAATGGCTGGTCTCTACGGACCCAAGGTACACTTTCCCACTTCTCCCTGTTCCCATGGGGCCCCCTCCATCCCACCCACTCATTCATTCATTTAGTCACTCAACAAATACTACTGAGTACTTACAGTGTGGGCTGGCACACAGTTCAGGTTCAAGCATGAACATCTTAACCCCCCCGGGACTTACCCCGGGATGTAAGCCCAGCTCCACAATTTACCGGTTTTGTGCCTCAGGCAAGAAAGTCACTTAGTCTCTCTGAGCCTTGGTTTCCTCATCTACAAAATGGGAATAACTGTTGTAGAGGATTTTTGCAAAAATTAAGACCAGAGACACACATCCCGCGCACTGAGTCAGCCCATTGCTGGTACCCGCTGAATAATGCCGGACGTGTTTTGCTCTTCCTGGGCCTCTCGGGTGAGGCCTCCTTGATGGGAGAAGTGAAAGTCGGCAGACTTCAGGGGTGAGGGAGCTGCTGGGGCCCCCAGCCAGCAGCTGCCCAGGCACAGACAGTCCTTCCTCTGCCTCCCGCAGGGCCCTCCTGGAGACATCGGCTTCAAAGGCATCCAGGGCCCTCGGGGGCCTCCAGGCTTGATGGTGAGTCCCCTCCCTGTGTCTGACCCAGCCCCGGGCCAAAGGCTGGCGAGCCACCAGCTGGCTGGACACACGTCCTCGACCTCCTCCTGTGTCTTCACTCTTGAGCCTCCTCTGCCCGCAGCCTCCATTCCCAACTCCACACCTTTGCTCATGCTGTTCCCCCAGCGGGGCTGCCACCCTTTCTTCTCCCTCTCTGGCCCCCAGTACTCTGTGCTTGAAGCCCACCCGAGGCACACAGGGGGGGCTCGGGCGATACCCAGCCTGGCCCTGCTTGAGACAGTCTCCCTTCCACTTCCCTGGGCTGTCCACTTCCCTGGGCTGCTCTCCACCCCTTTGTCCCTGCCTCTGTTCCCCAGGCCCTGGAACAGGACACACACAGCCTTTCTCTCTCCTTTAGGGAAAGGAAGGCATCACTGGGCCCCTGGGAATCCTGGGACCTTCGGGACTCCCGGTATGTGCAAGAGGCTGGGCAGGACACCTCCTGGGCCCCCTTGTCCTCCCGGCTCCAGATTGCCTCTGTGACTCAGGACTGGTCTGAGCCTCAGTGTCCCCATCTGGGAAATGGGGCTTCCCCATGAGTGCCATCTCACTGGGCGTGGTTTGTTGCAGGGTCCGAAGGGCGACAAAGGCAGCCGTGGGGACTGGGTGAGTGGACGGGCTGGGGGCAGTGTTGCGGAGTGGGGGAAGGGGGAGAGGGGAGGCTCTCGGGGTGGGGCCTTGGCTCAGCCCTGGTCCCCTAACTCTCTCCCCTGCTTCTGTCTCTCCAGGGATTGCAAGGTCCGAGGGTGAGTGAGCTGGGCGTGAGGGCTGTTGGGTGGAGCGGGCTGCACCCTCTGGGTTCTCCTCCAGTGACCCTTGATGTCCTTGGGCATGTTCCTTCCCTCTGGACCTCCACTGTCCCTTCTGTGCCATCTGGCCAGAGGAACCATTGTCCTTGGGTCTTAGGTTTTCATGGGGAGGGGCCTGGAGGGGGGTGTAAGGCCCTGGCCGACCAGGGTCTCACACTTTTTTGCCTCTTCCTCCAGGGTCCTCCTGGCCCAAGAGGGCGGCCCGGCCTCCCGGTAGGTAGCAGAGAGATGTGTGCATCTTGGACTCCCGGGAGCAGGGGATGAAGTTCCTTTGAATGAGATCTAAGGCTTTGCTGGCAGACTAAGCCTTGACCCTGACCCTCCCAGGACTCACATGGTTTTTATAGCCCACAGACTTCTGGGTGAATGTAGACCAGCATGGCAGGGCCAGACCTTCGGGAGCGTGTAGAACAGCCCAGTGGGGCCAGGCCTCCAAGAGAGTATAGAACAACTTTGTGGGGCTAGGCCTCTGGGAGAGTGTATACCAGCCCGGTAGGGGCAGGCCTCCAAGAGCATATAGACCAATCTGATGGAGCTAGGCCTCTGAGAAAGTGTAGACCAGCCTAGTGGGGCCAGGCCTCTGGGAGAATGTAGACCAGCCCAGTGGGATCAGGCCTCTGGGAGAACGTAGACCAGCCTGCTGGGTCTAGGCCTCTGAGAGAGTGTAGAAAAACTTTGTGGGGCTTGGCCTCTGGGAGAGTGTAGACCAGCCCGGTGGGGGCAAGCCTGCAGGAGCATATAGACCAGTCTGATGGGGCTAGGTCTCCGAGAAAATGTAGACCAGCCTAGTGGGGCCAGGCCTCTGGGAGAGTGCACACCACCCTGGTGAGTCCTCCCATGCTCTGACAGTCCCTACAATCTCATAACAGCCTGCTGTCTTTTCTTGCAGGGTCCTCCAGGGGGTCCTATCCAGTTTGTAAGTTGGAGAACATTCTCTTTTTCCTCCTTGGGGTAAGGCCTAGGGGGTGGGATGAGGGGAGAGGCAGCTGGTCCTCTCTGGTTACGGTGGCTAGAGCCCTACAGTGGGCCCCGGGATGCCCCCATCCTTTGGTCACTTTGTGTTGGAGCCCTGGACTGTAAAGCTACAGAAAGCGCCCTGGGCCAGGAGGCAGGAAACCTGACTTTTCTTCCTAACTGTGAACCCTAAAAGATGCCCCAGGTGTGGGGTCCGTGGTTCTGTGAGTGTTCTCCACACAGATGGGCTGATTGCGGGGGTCCCTCCATCTCCGATTCTGAGCCTAAGGAGGGTCAGGCAAGGGCACACTGTGTTCCTCCCTGGTGGGGCCCGCGGCCCTGTCTGAGCGTGTGGCCTCCCAAGTCCTATGACGAGTCCATCCCTGTTTTGTTACTGCACAGTGGCTGGCTGGCCACTGGAATCTGGCCTAGCAGCATCCCAGGGCAGAGCCATGAGGAAAGACTGAGCAGAACAGGAGTCCCTGGGCTCCATGTCACTCAGCAGCTCTGCCCTGTTCTCACTGCCCCTCCCTCTGCGCCATCCTCAGTGGCAGAGTGCCAACCTTGGCTTCCTCCTCTTCAGTCCCTCTTGTCCCTCTCATCAGTAAGAAAGAGGCTAGAGCAAAGTGAGAAGCTGTAGGACACATGGGAAATTCGAGGATTTTGAAATTTTTTTGTATAGTCACTAACACCAATTGAATGTTTGTCACATGGCAGACACCATTAGAAGTGCTTTTTGTAAGCCAGGCACTGTGGCTCATACCTATCATCCCATCACTTTGGGAGGTTGAGGCGGGAGGATTGCTTGAGCCCAGGAGTTTGAGACCAGCCTGTGCAACACAGCAAGACCCTGTCTCTACAAGAAAAATATTTTAAAAATCATAAAACTCGGCTGAGAGGGCATGGTGGTGTGCACCTGTAGTCCAAGCTGCTTGGAAGGCTAAGGCGGGAATATCTCCAGAGCCCAGGAGGTGGAGGCTGCAGTGAGCCATGATTGTGCCACTGTAGCCTGGACAACAGAGTAAGACCCCCTACTCCAAAAAAAAAAAAAAAAAGTACTTTTGGTGTACTAATTCGTGATTCCTTTCAGTAGTTCCGTGAGAGAGTTTATTGTCAGGCCCATTTTCAAGATGAAAGAACTGAGGCAAGGAGAGGTTAAGCAACTTCCCCAGATTGGGCTGTTAGTAAGCAGCAGGGCCCGGGTTTGAACCTGAGGAGTATGCCTGGAGTCCCAGTTCTGGCCCCCAAGCCTGCTTTGTCACTGTTCCCACAGCAAGACGGCAGTTTTGCTCTGCCAAGCCTGGCGCCAGGTTTGGGGTGAAATCTATATGAGGTCCTTACAGTCCAAGCCAAAGGAGAAACCCCAGGAGTGGGAGCACAGAGAAAGGAAGCCTCCCCCTGCCTGGGAGCAGCAGCCTCGGGAGGGGCTTCTCGTCAAGGCTGCCACCTATAGGATAAGTGTAGGGCAGGATGTCTGAGCTGCAGCTCTGCTGATGTTCGAGTCATTCTATGCTGTGAGTGACTGTCCTGTGGGATGTTAGCAGCGTTTGGGGCCTCTAACCATGAAATGCAAGGAGTGCCCTCTGCCCCAGTTGGGACAACCAAAAATATCTCCAGATATTGTCCAGTGTCCCCTGGGGCCATCATCGCCCCTGGTTGAGGATTACTGGCACGGAAGACAGCCAGATGGTGCACTGGAGGGAGGGAGGAGTTTTCCAGGCAATGGGAGCAGCAGGTGCCAGGGCCCCGTGGCATTTAGGAACTTAGCAATTCTATTGTGTGCTGGTGCTAGAGCACATATGGGGAGAGAGGAGAGATGAGGTTCCAGGTGGCAGCGCTCCAGCCGGGTCTTGTAACCGTGTTGAGAACTTTAACTTAACCCTGAGGGTGGTGGGGAGCTACCGAAATACTTGGAGGTGGCCGGGCTTGGCTTAGCCTGTAATCCCAGCACTTTGGGAGGCCAAGGCGAGTGGATTGCCTGAGCCTGGGATTTTGAGACCAGCCCAGGCAACTTGGGGAGACCTTGTCTCTACAATAAATAAATAAACAAATTAGCTAGGCATGGTAGTTCACAGCTATAGTTTCAGTTACTTGGAAGGCTGAGGCAGAAGTGTCGCCGGAGCCCAGAAGGTCGAAGCTGGGTTGGCCGTGAGCATGTCACTGCTCTCTAGCTTGGGTGATAGAGTGAGAATCCAACTCAAAAAGAAAAAAAAGAAAAGAAATACTCAGAGGAAGAGAGTGGCAGGGTCAGCTTTGATGCTGAAAGGGGAGGAATGACAGAGAGTTCCACCGAGGCCACGTGACTTTGCCAGGTGGGGTTGGAGAGTGGGTGCTCGGGCCCTGGGGCTCTCACTTGGTGGGTCTGGGGAACCCTGAGGGACAGCACATACACCCTGTCTTTTCTCTGCACAGCAACAAGACGACCTTGGGGCAGCTTTCCAGACGTGGGTGGACACCAATGCCGCACTCAGATCAGAGGTACTTGCAGGATCCCTGCCCCCCCATGGAAGTCCCTCATGGGAGAGCCACGAACAGTGGCCCACATGTGGTCAAAGCGCTCCGTGTGGCCTGCACGGACCGTCTCACGGCCACAGATGGCGGTTGATGCTGCTGAGGCTCAGAACAGGCAGCCACAGGTCCTGGGTCCCTGGCCTGAAGCCCCCTTAGGGGCTTGCAGAACTTGTTCCATCTCTTGGTGCCTCACAGGAGCCCCCACTCCTGCCCCAGGGGAGGCCCGTGGGGCCAGGTGTCTCCCTCATCAGCCTCTGTCTGCACCTCCTCCTCCATGGACTCTCCAGATGGGGATTTGGGACCACTTGCCAGCATTCCAGCACCCTGTCTGCCTCATTCATGGGGCCCTGCCCCTCCTGTGCCAGAGGACATGGGCTGACTCTGTTCTTCTCAAGCTGCCGGGCCATCGTGGCAGCCCCACCTTCTGCCTCTCACCCTGGCCTCAGTGTATTTATCTGTGAAATGGAGTGAAAGCCAACTCCTGCCCCAGCCATGACCTGGGGGCCTCATCTCCCAAGTTGTGAGAACTTGTGGCTGTGGAGGCTTGGACCTCTGGCTGGAACAGAGGAACCCAGTGGCCACCCCTCTCCTCGTGACAGGGTTACAGCTATCCTGACCGGCTGGTGCTGGACCAGGGAGGGGAGATCTTTAAAACCTTACACTACCTCAGCAACCTCATCCAGAGCATTAAGACGCCCCTGGGCACCAAAGAGAACCCCGCCCGGGTCTGCAGGGACCTCATGGATTGTGAGCAGAAGATGGCGGATGGTGAGAGGGATTCCTGCCAGGGCTGGGTAGGCCCTGTGTGGGGCATTTGGGGAGGAACAGCTGGAGCATTGGACTCTTAGTTTGCTGGGACAAGCCTTTGTCCTCGGTGGTAGGGGGAATCAATCACACTGGCAGATACATAGGCAGTCATTAATTCGTTCAATTGGCAGTCCCCAAGCCTCACAGAACGCCAAGCCTCGTGCTTTTTGGGGTGTGTAGATATAATGCGGAACACAGTAGAGTGGTCCCACCCTTCCAGAGCTGCCAGACTCACAAGCTGGGGAGACATTTCAGTGTCATGAGACAGAGCTTTAGCAGAAAAAGCCCCCTAGGGCCTCAAGAGCTGTCACCGCATGGCTTCCGGGTGAGCCAGGATTTACCCTCCATCCGTTCTCCCCTCACTCACCTCCCACATCTGTGAGTGTTGTGGTACTGTGAAGGACAGGCTGGAGGCTGACAGACCTGAGTTCCAATGTCAGCCCTGCCTGGAGCATGCTCTGTGAACCAGAGCTGGGATTCAGTGGTGTTGTCTTGCTCTCTGGCTGCAGGGCCTTTGGCGGCAGGGGGAAGCCACTGCAGGGCTGGGGCTGACTGGATGGAGGCCCTGACACCCCCCCCTCCAGCAGGTCCCAGGAGGATCCAGGCCTTAGAGAATCCATTCAATTAGCAGATCTCTTAGTCCCTGTCACAAGGACACATCCCAGTAGCAACACAGGCAAGCGCTTAGCCATGTGACCCCCTCCAGGGACTTGCCAGCTGTGAGTTCTACTTGAAGGCTTCCTTCCACCTCTGAGGCTCGTGGAATCCCTATTCTACCCACCCACCCTGACTTCCTGCCCAGCTGGGGCTCAGAGGGCCACCGCAGAGCCCCAGCCAGGGCTCCTCCCTAGATTCATGCACTTTCCCACCCTGTGCTGCCTGCAGGTACCTACTGGGTGGATCCGAACCTCGGCTGCTCGTCCGACACCATCGAAGTCTCCTGTAACTTCACGCACGGTGGACAGACATGTCTCAAGCCCATCACGGCCTCCAAGGTACCCTTCTGCTCCCCACCGGCCACCAGGCAGACCTTCTCTGTCTGAGCCCTGCCTGTCGTCTTACTGCACAGCCTAAGAACATCATCTCTCTCAAAGACCCAGTCTCTCCATCTGCAACCTGGGGATGAACTGGACCGATCTGTGGTTTCCAAACCCTTCAGAGTTGTGTGCTGCTGATGACACTTTCTACAGGTAGAATCTTCTGCCTGACATCTAGAGCAGAGTAGTTAACCAACCTGGCCTGGCTTGCAGAACCACAAACCATCAGCACGAAATAAGTCAGTGTGAAATTTCTCGGTCATCTGGAACATGCTGCATAGAGCCTGTGTGCCAGCTGTCTGTCTCCGGGCTGTGCACGGAGTTGTGTGTGCACATATTACACTCGTGCTCAGTACCTGCGTGCCACGTGCCCATCTCTGGGCTGAGCATTTTAGGTAGTGTCGGGTAACTCAACAACAAACCAAGGCAAGAGTGGCCCCTGGGGCTCCCCACCAGGGACCCCCTTAGTAGATTGTCAGTCTGCAGCTCTACTAAGCCTTCCACATTTTAGGGTGGCTCATACCACAATGAGAAGCTGTTCTGAATGCAGGGGAGGAGCCCTAGAGCCCCTTGCATGGTTTGCCAGCAGTCATGCCCCCCCGGGAGTCTTCAGGAGGCATCCGACCTGGAATCTGAGGATCTCTGGGCAGGGCAGTGTCTCAGCCAGCCAGTGGACAGGTCCTTGTTGGGTCTCTACCATGTAGAGGCCCTGAGCCAAGTGTCAGGAGGTCAGGCTGACCACAACCACTGCTGCACTCAGAGCTCATGGTCCAGCAGGGACTTGGTGACCCCAGCATACCTGTCTTCCACAGTGACTCAAAGGTTTGAGGGTCTTGTAGCAAACCGCCTGGCAGAGGAGTGAGGACAGAGCTGGTGTCTGGGTTAGCAGCATGAGACACATCTGGGTCTCCTTCCCCATTGGGCAAGGGCAGGGGAGGCCCCGGCTCTGGGCGGCAAAGCGCTGAAGCCATAAATCCTGGCCTGTTGTCTGTTCTCAGGTCTACCCTTTCTGGTGGCACCCATCCCATCTCATGGGATTTTTGGACTTAGGAAGGGGGTGGAAAGCACCTCTTTTCCTCCACACCCCAAAAGCCTCTCAGTCTTGGGCCAGATCCTCTTCCTTGCCAGGCCCCTGAATCCCAGCCCAGCCCCAAACACCACCCATCCCATGGGGAAGTGGATCAGAGTAGACAAGGACCCTCAAAGCTTGGCAGACTTTCCTGGCTACACAGCCAAGAACCTGTGGGACCAACTCACACAGACCTCAGTTTTCCTGTCAAGTGGGCACACGTCTGAGAGCATAGCGAGAGGCGCTTACCAGGAAAGGGCTCATCCTTGCTCCCTCCAGTGCTGCAGGTAGCCCGGCCTGAGCTGCCTCAGGGCTGTCTTCCCCACAGGTCGAGTTTGCCGTCAGCCGGGTCCAGATGAATTTCCTGCACCTGCTAAGCTCCGAGGTGACACAGCATATCACCATCCACTGCCTTAACATGACCGTGTGGCAGGAGGGCACTGGGCAGACCCCCGCCAAGCGGGCTGTGCGCTTCCGGGCCTGGAACGGGCAGATTTTTGAAGCTGGGGGTCAATTCAGGCCCGAGGTGTCCGTGGACGGCTGCAAGGTAACCCTCGGAGCCCCTCATGGGCCCCTTCCATGGGAACAAGGGGAAGAACTTGTTTGGAAAAACTTTTTATCGTAAGATCATATTTAATCATTTTATACTACATATAATTTATCTTTGTGTAATAATTTTATTATAACAGTTTTATCAAATTGTTTTTATTCACTTCTTTCTCTGGGAAACTCTGAGGGGAGGTCTGGATTGGCAGAAGTTCTTCAGACCAGTAGATGCTAGATGTACTTACAAGGTTGCTTAAAAGAGCTTTTGGGCTGGGTTCGGTGGCTCGGCCTGTAATCCCAGCACTTTGGGAGGCCAAGGCGAATGGATTGACTGAGCCTGCAGGTTTGAGACCACCCCGGGCAACTTGGTGAGACCTCATCTCTACAATAAAGCAAAAATGTAGCCGGGCGTAGCACACGCCTGTAGTTCCAGGTACTTGGAAGGTTGAGGTGGAAGGATCGCTGGAGCCCAGCAGGTCACCGCTGGGATGGCAGTGAGTGTGCCACTGCACTCCAGCCTGGACAATGGAATGAGATTCCAACTAAAAAAAAAAAAAAAAAAAGCTTTTCTTTCTTCTTTTCTCTCTGCTCCCACCATCGTCAGGCTAATTTCTTCTCATATTTTTTGGTCGTTTTCTTTTTTTTTTGAGTTGAAGTCTCACTCTGTCACCCAGGCTGGAGTGCAGTGGCATGCTCATGGCCACCGTAGCCTTGACCCACTGGGCTCAGGCGATCCCTCCGCCTCAGCCTTCCAAGTAGCTGGAACTATAGGTGTGCACCAACACACCTGGCTAACTTTTTGATTTATTGTAGAGATGAGGTCTCGCCAAGTTGTCCGGGCTGATCTCAAACCCCTGAGCTCAGACAATCCTCTCGCCTCCGCCTCCCAAATTGCTGAGATTACAGGTGTGAGCCACTGCACCTGGTGTTGGTCTTTTTCAACTGCCCTGTAGCAGGTGGGTTGTCAGGGGAGGAGGAAACAGACAGTTGTTGTCAAAAGGCAAGACAAACAAACAAAAAGCCCCTACAGTTTTATAAGATTAAACCAAACTGATAATACACCGTGTTAATGAGGATGTGGGGAAACCAACACTCTCCCATGAAGCGATTGGAAAAAAATAAACTAATAGAGGCTTTCTGGATACCAGCCATACACATATCCAACATCTGTCCAAAACCTTAGAAAGGTACCTATCCTTTGATCCAGCAATTCTACTTTTAGAGTTTGTTCTAGAGAAATAACCAAGAATGGGCACAAAGTGTTAGCTCCAGCGATGTTCGCTACGGCATCACTATAAGAATAAAAAAATGGGAGGCGATCAAAATGTGCTGTGTTGGCCGTTGCTACAGTGAATCGCCCTGTTGAGTTAGCCTTGTGAGGAAGGATGGTGGGAAAGAAATGCCCGTGAGTTATGAGGAGAACCACAGTGGAGCTTCTCCTTTTGCCCTCAGGTCCAGGATGGCCGCTGGCGTCAGACACTCTTCACCTTCCGGACCCAAGACCCCCAGCAACTGCCCATTGTCAGCGTGGACAACCTCCCGCCCGTCTCACCAGGGAAGCAGTACCGCCTCGAAGTTGGACCTGCCTGCTTCCTCTGACCTCTGACCTCCTGGCCCCTCTAGCCTCATGGAGGAGGGAAGGGGGAGAGGCGAGGGGAGGGTCTTGAGGGGCAGGTGGCTCCGGGAGAGGAAGCGCCCCTGCCCAAGGACACTTGGGCAGACCCTGGCTGTTGTCTGCCCAGTAGAAGTGGGTGGGGTAGCAGGGTACGGGGTGTCCTTGGGAACGACGGATCCCAGCTTAGCCCCAAAGAACAACCAAAGAGCCGGCCGGAGCAAGCTGGGCCTGCAACCCGCCTGAGCCCCGTGGCCTATCTCCCAGCTCTGCGGCCACCCCCTTCCCTGCCCAGCTTCCCGCCCAAAGAGCCCCACGTGCAAGCCAACTTGAGGGAAGGGGGCATCTCGTCAGCTGGTCCCTGCCAGGGAGCTTTTGATGTGCAATATTAGAAAGGAGATATGAAAAAAAGGAGAAAAGGAAAGAAAGAAGTATATATATTATTTAAACGAACACAAAGAAGGTGTGTTACTATTTTTTTTCACCCGGGAGAGAGGTGAGAGGATGAGAAAGAGCAGCCAGGGGTGGGATGCAGCACGATCCTTGGGGCTGGGGCCCCCCGTTAGCTACCTCCCACGGTGAAATCGCTGGTGCTCGCAATTGTCTCGTAGTGTATGTGATTTTTTTTAAGGAAAAAAAAACCCCTATTTAAGATTCTAAAGGTGCTACCATTTTTGCCACAGACTTTGAAGAAACTTTTTTGATGTGGGGGGCATTGTCCACATCTTTCTCTTTCCTCCAAATGGCAAAGTTGGGGAATTTTAAAATTTTCCTAGCATCACTTTTGTGCTCGCCAGGTAATTTGCTAAGGAGGAAAAAAATAAAAGAAAAAAGGAAAGAAAAAAAAAAAAAGCAAAAAAAAAAAAAAAAAATTCTACCAGAAACCAGAAGTAGAGAGATCTACCTTTTAACTTATGGACTTTGAAATGTCTATCCTTTAAGGCAGCAGGGAGCCCTGGGCACAAAGCACGTGGGCTTGGCCCTTTGTGATCCTGAAGGAGGTGAGGTTTGCCTGGAAGGCGTGCCCTGGACAGGTCCTGGGTGAGGCCTTGACCGTGAAGAAGCCAGTTCCAAGAGCGACGAGGGGTCAGGATTCCTGGTGGAGGTGGAATGTTTGCGTCAAACCATCTCACGAAGCCACGTCCCCTGTCTGAGCTCCTCCATCCCAGAAGCCTGCCCTCCTCCCAGGAGTCATCGTTCTTTTTCTTTGTCGCTAAATGCTACAGACACCCATTGTCATTAGCTCCAAGTGTAAATGTGGGCTGAGGAGAAAGAATCATTATGGGAATCTCGGAGTCCAACACCACCACAGCGTTCGGTGTCATCAGAATTGTGCCGTATCAACCAGTGGGCCGGCGCCCAAATTGGCTGCTGAGGTCGTTTTAACTATGGGATGATTTTTACGGAAGGGGAAACGTATGTGAAAATCTCTGTGTGTGTGTTTCTCTGCTAAAGTTGTGTCTCTTTGGGATTGGATTTGACTTCCGTGATTTTAATACCTCACTCTGGCCCACCCTTCCTCCCGACACCCTCTGTACCCGCGCCCGCCGCCCCCGCCCGGACGCTCCGCATGGAAGTGCATTTTGTAGCAGCTCGGGCCTCATCTCAGCTCTTGGTCCCCTACCCGTCTCTGTCTCATTCTTGGGTTTTTCTGCTGTCCTCGTCTGTGTCTCTGTCCACATGTCAGTGTGTGAAAACCCTAACGGGTTCTGTTTTTCTTTTTCCCTTCTGGATTTTAAATAAATATTTAAAACTGAGGCAATGGAATGACGTGTCTGTGGTCAAGTGCTTCTTCTCAAAGCTCGGAGGGTGGTTTGCAGAGGGGCAGAAGGCAGGGGGCCCCCGAGAATGCCCTCCTTACACTGTAACTGAGACCACACACTTGGTGGTTTCAGAAAACAGAGATATTTTCTCTCCCAGTCCTGGAGGCCAGAGGTCCAAGATCAACGAGCTAGCAGGACCATGCCCCCTCCTGCACCTTTAGGGCAGGATTTGCAGGACCATGCCCCCTCCAGAGCCTTCAGGGCCGGATTTGTGCTTGCCTCGTCCAGCTTTGGGGGGCCCTGGGGACCCCTAGGCTCGCAGCTATAGCACTTCAATCTCTGCCTTTGGGGTCACCCGCCATTCTCCCCGTGTCTGTGTTTTGGCCCACCCTAATGACCTCACTTAGCCTGACAACATCTGCAGAGACCCTGCTTCCAACTGAGGTCACATCCACAGGTACCGGGTGTTGCAACTTCAACAGATCTTTTTCTGGGGGAGGAGTGGAGGGGCACAATTCAATGCATAACACAGGGAGGAAGTCCACCGAAGTGAACATGAGCAATTTGTGCTGTTATTATTGTGGTCAAATACACATAAAATCGACCCTTAATGGCACTTAGCACATTCACGATGGGAAGTGGGACACCAACTCCATCTGTGCCCATATCAGTCTCATCACTCCAAAGGGATACCCGTACCTGATGAGCAGTCATGCCCCACCCCTCCCAGCCACTGGAACACCACCCATCTGCTTTCCATTTCTTATGGCCTCACCTTCTCTGGAAATTTTGTATAAATGGAATCAGACACTACGTGGCCTTTTGTGACATTAGCCTCTTTCACTCAACCTGATGTTTCAAGATCCAGCCACGTGGTAGCATGTGTCAATACTTCATTTTTTTTTTTTTTTGTGAGTCAGAGTCTTACTCTGCTGCCCAGGCTGGAGTGCAGTGGCACACTGCTCACAGTCACCGCAGCCTCAACCTTCTGGACTCAGATGATCCTTCCTCCTCAGCCTTCCAAGTAGCTGAAACTACAGGCGTGCTACCAGACCTGGCTTATTTTTTTATTTATTATATAAATGAAGTCTCACCAAGTTGCCCAGGCTGGTCTCGAACCCCTGAGCTTAGGCAATCCTTTCACCTCGGCCTCTCAAAGTGCTGGGATTACAGGCTTGTGCCATCGCACCCGGCCAGTGCTTCATTTTTTTAAATGACTGAATTATGCTCCATTGTCTGGAGAGACACATTTTGTTTACTTAGTCATAACATGGACATTTGGGTGTTCTCACCTTTTGAATATCACAAAAAACTCGTTGAAATGAGTGATTCCTACCTGTCAGATTCTTGAGAGAAACCACGATGGTGCCTGCCTTGCAAGAAGTGAGTGACAGTCGGGGAGATGGGGTTGCCAGATTTAGCAAATAAAAACATAGGATTTCCTGATAAAATCGAATTTCAGATACACAGCAAACATTTTTTTTTAGTATAAGTGTGTTCCATGCAACATTTGGGATATACTTATACTAAAAATTTTGTTATTTGTTGTTTATCTGAAATTCAGCTTTCCCTGGGTGTCCTGGCCTGGAGTCCACAGTTCCTGACCCTTGTTTCAGACCTCTTTCTTCCTTCGCGTGTTCCTCCTCCTCTAGGATGTTGGATGCGTCGGAACTTTTCAGTCCTCCTCATTGGGAAGAACACATCACAACCAACTGAGTTCATACTGGAGATGTCTGTGTTAAAATCTTGCACTTTCCAGGGGATCGGTCCCCACACAGCTTAGTCCTCTCTCTTCTCTGGAACCCCCTTGCACCTGCACCTGAGCCCCTGTGCGGAGTCTGCCGGGAGCCCAGCATGCATGGTCTGGAAGGGCGCGGAGATCCCCAGATCAAAGGCATACCCTCCCGTTTTACACAGAGAACAGCTAAAGTACGAGGAAGAGCCTAAGGTCACAGGGGAGGCCCAGGCTGAACTGCGATTCAGACCCAAGACTGCCAACAGCACTGTTGTGTGCATTCGACCTGGAGGCTCGGCAGGAATGCAGATTCTTGGCCTCCCTTGAACCTGCCTCCCAGGGTGGGGCTCAGCAGTCTGTTTTAGCAAGCTCCCCTCCCCACCGAGATCCTGGTACATGCTAACTCCCAAGAACCACCGCAAGGCAATGTTTCCAAAGGATGGAAAATGGCTTCCCAACACCGGGGACAAAAACAAAACTTGGGGATTGGGGGAGATAAAATGTTCCTTTCATTTCTTTGACTGACTCTGGCAGATGAAAATTGAACCAGCAGAACCCCTTTCCCGAGGTCTGCCATATCTTGTTGCCCCCACAGAGTTTGCCCAGCTGTGCGAGAATGCTTCTCATTTTGCAGACAGGAAAATGAAGTCGCTTCCATGTCTGTGTTCCCCAGAGAAAGCTCGGTGAGGAGAGGAGGCGCATCTTGTTCCCTCTGTAGCCACAGAGCGCCCAAAGTACTCAAAGTTGTTTAACGACGGCTTGCAGAACTCTCACTCCACTTAGGACGTGAGCTTACCGCCCACCTCCCCTGTGCCCAGTCTCGTGTGGGCACTGGAGTCACAGAGACGGGTCTGAAGGCATGTCTGAGTGGCTCTGGGCCCGGTGAATGTAGCAGGAAGGGCTGGGCCCTGTGGGCTTAAGGGCTTGGGGAGCAGGGATGGGGGGAGCAGGTGCCGGGTATGAGTGGGGAAGGGTGTCATCGTTAACGCACACTCGGCAGGAGGAGAGTCAGGAGGTGACCCCTGTGTTAGCCAGGGTTCTCAGGAGAAACAGCCTACAGGATACAGGAAGGGGCTTATTATACAACATTGGCTTATGCCATTATGGAAGTTGACAAGTCCCTAGATCTGCTGGAGACCCAGGACAGTGGTACAGTTCCTGCTTGAAGGTCGGCAGGCTTGAGACTCACAAAAATTCCGGGTTTCCATTCAACTCTAAAGGCAGGGAAAAAAATCCACCTCCCAGTTTGAAGGCAGAAGGAATTCACTCTTACTCAGCCTTTTTATTTTCTATCCGGGCCTTCACTGATTGAATGAGGCCCATCCACATCAGGAAGGCCATCTAATTTACTCAGTCTACCCACTCAAATGTTAATCTCATCCAGAAACACCCAGAATAATATTTGGCCAAATGGATGGGCACCCCGTGGCCCAGTCAAGTTGGCACAGGACGTTAACCATCATGCTTCCCAGGCTGAGGCTGAGAGAGGAGGCATAGAAGCTAGTCAAATGGGAAGGGTATCAGGAGGAGTGGGAACAGGATCTGCCCAGACCCAAAGGTAAAGGTTGTGCTGTGTACTTGGGACCAGTAAGCAGTTGCATGTGGCAGTACAGAGTAGTGTGTGGGGAGGGCTGGGGACAGGACGAGCGCAGGTTTGTGCAGAAGAGCAGGGGTTCGGGTTGGCACACTGGCTTGAGCTAGGGTAGAGTCATCCAGGAAGCGGTTGGCAGAGCTGGGAGGATGGGGGATAGGTCTGTGTCACAGGCAGGGCTCAGAGTCATCTCAGCATTCGTGAAGGCAGGAAGATGTGGAAGGAGAAAGCTGGCAAGTAAGGGCCAGAGGTGCTGGACAAGAGGAGCTTGCCTAGACCCGTGACACTCACGACTCTCAGCCTGGTCTCAGTCCCAGGTGGGCCTTGGTGACCGGCCACTGAGGAGAGGACGCTGGAGCTGGACCAGCCCATTTCCCGCAGGGACAGGTGGGAGATTGTTGGGGACCAGCAGCGCCCGCATTTCCCAGCCTCCCGTTGCACAACGGAGTGTCAGGAAACAGCCCGGGTGGACTTCCCAGGCCAGGACCACGTCAGGGGAAAGCCTGGGCCAGCCTGTGTTTGCTCTGTTCACATGACTCAAGCGCTAACCCTGGTCCCGCCTGCCATGACCAGTAGCCTCAGTCAGGAAAGTGAGGGAGAGAAAGCAAGAGGGGGAGAGGCCGGCACGTGGACTCCAATTCCTGGCTAGGACATGGGCCCTGGGAGCGTCATTCTCTGGGCCTCAGTTTCTCATTCTTGCCAGCTGCAGAGAGGGCTATTGTTCAACCATGGTAGGGTGAACCGTGTGGGATGGAATGACACCCAACTGCTGTTGGAACCACAAGATCCACGGTTTCGTGCGACTCCGCCCAAGCGCAGCACCATTTAGAATACCGGCGGCTACGGTTTCTCGCGCCCTGACCACGAGCCAGTGCTGTGCCAAGTGTGACACGCTTTTGCCTCATGCACAAGCCCACAAAACATGTGGTGTGACCCTGGCTTTTCAGGATGAGGAAACTGAAGTCCAAAGAAGTTGCATAAGCTGCATGAGATCACAAAACAGGATCTGAACTTGAGCAAATCTTCTCGTTGGGTCTTTCCTCAGTCTGGACATAAAGTCCCTGGCAAGGCCCGACTTTCCCGCTGCTGTAGGGTCTCTGGCTGCCCATGTAAAAGGAGATCACAAGTTAGTCCTCAGATGGGCCTTGGTGCTGGCCTTGGAGACAAAAACTGGGAGGTGACTTTTTCAGGAAATGAAGTGTTTTGTTATCAGGACACATACTCTGGATTACCGAAAGCTTGCTTGCTGTGTGACTTTCCCCATACTGCCTTACCTCTCTGAGCCATTTGTTCCCTTGTCTATACACTAGGGGGAAATATTCAATTTTCTTGAACCTAGGATGGACAGACATACTTTTGCATTCTGATATTTTTAGAAGTGGGACATTACTTGCAGTCACTGAAGTGTACATACAGAGAAGTCTTACTTCCCTCCCCGCCCCATCTGGCCTGGGGTATGGCTAAACCGATGGTGACAGCTATAATCAGCAGCCCCTTAGAAGCTGCCAGGTGCGGTGGCTCATGTCTATAATCCCAGCACTTTGGGAGGCTGAGATGGGAGGATTGCGTGAGCCCACGAATTTGAGACCAGCCTGGGCAACATAACACGATCTTGTCTTTACAAAAATTTTAAAAATTAGTCGGGCATGGTGGCGGCACTGAACTTTGGCTCTTACACAGATCTTACCACATTGTTTAATAAACTCATATTTGCCCCTGTTTACCACAACCCCCTCCCCATGTACCTAAGGCTATCCTGGAAACTCTCTAAGGTGCCTTCAATATGTGACTATGGCTGGGTCCCGCTGAAGTCTTGGTGCTCAGTGGGATAAAAACGGAATGAAAACACGAAAGGCTGAGCCTGGTGGCTCATACCTGTAATCCCAGCACCTTGGGAGACCGAGGCAGAAGGATTGCGTGAGCCCAGGAGTTTGAGACCAGCCAACCTGGGCAACATAGCGAAACCTTGTCTCTACAAAAAAAAAAAAAAAAAAAA